CACACACAGCTAAACCACACAGGTACACCACACACACAGGTACACCACACAGGTACACCACACACACAGGTACACCACACACACAGGTACACCACACAGGTACACCACACACACAGGTACACCACACAGGTACACCACACACACAGGTACACCACACAGGTACACCACACAGGTACACCACACAGGTACACCACACACACAGGTACACCACACAGGTACACCACACACACAGGTACACCACACACACAGGTACACCACACACACAGGTACACCACACACACAGGTACATCACACAGGTACACCACACACACAGGTACACCACACACACAGGTACACCACACAGGTACACCACACACACAGGTACACCACACACACAGGTACACCACACACACAGGTACACCACACAGGTACACCACACACACAGGTACACCACACACACAGGTACACCACACACACAGGTACATCACACAGGTACACCACACACACAGGTACACCACACACACAGGTACACCACACACACAGGTACATCACACAGGTACACCACACACACAGGTACACCACACACACAGGTACACCACACAGGTACACCACACACACAGGTACACCACACACACAGGTACACCACACACACAGGTACACCACACAGGTACACCACACACACAGGTACACCACACACACAGGTACACCACACACACAGGTACACCACACAGGTACACCACACACACAGGTACACCACACACACAGGTACACCACACACACAGGTACACCACACACACAGGTACACCACACAGGTACACCACACAGGTACACCACACACACAGGTACACCACACACACAGGTACACCACACAGGTACACCACACAGGTACACCACACAGGTACACCACACACACAGGTACACCACACACACAGGTACACCACACACACAGGTACACCACACAGGTACACCACACACACAGGTACATCACACAGGTACACCACACAGGTACACCACACAGGTACACCACACACACAGGTACACCACACAGGTACACCACACTCGTTGCCCTGCCTGCCGTGCCGTGCAGGTGGCGGTGTCGCCCCCGGGCACCGCGGCGCGCGTGCTCGCTCTGACGTCACCAGGCGTCGCATCCGGCGCGTCACGGCTGGTGACGTCACGGCTGGTTTAAGGGCGACATTCTCTATTTTTGAAACACACCCAAAAATGTGACGCTCGCAAATTTTTTAAGTAACCTAGAAAGGATTTCAAGAATCCTTGTTTATGGCTTCGACCGCTATGTTCGTCGAGAGAGCTTCTCCAATAATTATTTTAAAATGAGAATGGAGCACATAAAGTGTATTAAGCTAATTATTATTTTATTTAAATGTGAATTCAGCCCAGGAATGATTGACAAGAGAATTGTGTATAATAATGTCAACTTGTTACGTGCCGCACACGATTCTCTGCTCGCTCTCCAAGAGAGGACGACTCAGACGCGGTCCTAGATATGAAACTAAACGATGTTTATTTTACCAGCTATATAGCCCACTGTGCTTTATAGCGAAGCGACTTTGCTACAAATGATAGCTTAACGAAGTGGCTTATCACATCGACATGTATAGTAAGCCAAATACTCTAAACACGTGACGTTGATTCTGATTGTGGAGGGAAAAACCGGCGGACCTGGAGAAAATTCCACGCGACCACGGGGAGAACGTGCAAACTCAAAATATACAGCAGCAGCAGGCGTCAGGGTCGAACCCACGACTTTCTGTACACCAGGCGAGATAGTTGACATCTTGCCACCTTATTGAGGTGTTATCAGCCAATTAATGAGTGTGTATACCACTGCCCAGGCAGTATCGCCTTATACAGTTCTTAAGTCGTCTGTGTAATCATAAAACACTCCAAATCAACTCCCTCAGCACTGTGATTGAAATGAACACGAGTATTGGTGGAGTGCTGCCTTGCCCTGGCAGAACGGATCAAACTCAGCTGAAATGTTTCATTTGAAACGGAATTATTGTTTTGGGTAAGGCCCGCTAGTAATGATCTGGCCAAATTTGTGTCATGAATCCCTCCACCACCCGACCGACATAGCCATACATTAAGATTGCCGCGTGTACAAGCGTACATAGCGCCAGTTAGTTTTGTTTGAGTCCCTCCGGTAAGTTGAACAAAGCTGTCAACCCAGACGGTTCACCCCGTATTCTTGTACAGGGAAATTGAGTTTTTAGGTCCATACGGCGTACGGCCGTTTCAATACGGGCAGCAAAATCTCTTGTGTCTATTAGTTTGTGTTTCTCCCTCGTGATGGGAATTTATAGGATGAGCGTTGGGATTTATAAGGGGCACGGGGGTGAGCAATAAGGTCTGAATTGGTCTGTGATAAAGTAGGACACTGATAAGGGGTTGACAGCTATGGATGAAGAGAGATCCTCGCAAGCGAATGTAAAAAACACCTCAATATTTTCAAGAGCCGCGTGGTGAATAGGAGAGACGGTGGTGGTCATTACTAAACAACGCCACGAAGCAGTCCAACAAGAACCCCCACCGCATGCGGTTCTGGAGCTGCAGGTTGCCGCCCACTGCTCTAGCGTAACATTGCCCCACGGCTGCAACACAAGTAAATATTAAATATGATTGTTTATGAAGTTAAACAAATATTATAACGAAGGCTGGATTTGAACCCACAACCTCTTGAACTGCCGCCGCCTTGTGGCGAGGGTTGAGTTTTGCACTGAGCGCTCAAAGCCTCGGGGCAGGCCGAGCAATTGGTGCAAAGCGCCACCTGCTGCTTGCAAAACCTGCGGCGTTGTTTACATCTCGCGAAGTCTCAACACTAGGGGCGCTGTCTCACCACTAGGGGCGCTGTCTTTCACCACTAGGGGGCGCTGTCTCTCACCACTAGGGGCGCTGTCTCACCACTAGGGGCGCTGTCTCTCACCACGAGGGGGCGCTGTGTCTCACCACTAGGGGCGCTGTCTCACCACTAGGGGGCGCTGTCTCTCACCACGAGAGGCGCTGTCTCTCACCACCAGGGGCGCTGTGTCTCACCACTAGGGGGAGCTGTGTCTCACCACTAGGGGGCGCTGTCTCTCACCACGAGAGGCGCTGTCTCTCACCACCAGGGGCGCTATGTCTCACCACTAGGGGCGCTGTCTTTCACCACTAGGGGGCGCTGTCTCTCACCACTAGGGGGCGCTGTCTCTCACCACTAGGGGCGCTGTCTCTCACCACTAGGGGCGCTGTCTCTCACCACTAGGGGCGCCGTTTTAACACTAGGGGCGCTGTCTCTCACCACTGGAGGCGCTGTCTCACCACTAGGGGCGCTGTCTCAACACTAGGGGCGCTGTCTTTCACCACTAGGGGGCGCTGTCTCACCACTAGGGGCGCTGTCTCTCACCACGAGGGGGCGCTGTGTCTCACCACTAGGGGCGCTGTCTCACCACTAGGGGGCGCTGTCTCTCACCACTAGGCGGTGCTGTCTCTCACCACTAGGGGCGCTGTCTCTCATCATTAGGGGCGCTGTCTCTCAACACGAGGGACGCTGTCTCTCACCACTAGGGGGCGCTGTCTCTCACCACTAGGGGCGCTGTCTCTCAACACGAGGGACGCTGTCTCTCACCATTAGGGGCGCTGTCTCTCAACACGAGGGACGCTGTCTCTCACCACTAGGGGGCGCTGTCTCTCACCACTAGGGGCGCTGTCTCTCACCACTAGGGGCGCTGTCTCTCACCACTGGGGGCGCTATGTCACCACTAGGGGGCGCTGTCTAACCACTAGGGGGCGCTGTCTAACCACTAGGGGGGCGCTGTCTAACCACTGAGGGCGTTGTGTCGCCACTCGGGGCTCATCCCGGATTCCTCTCATCTAAATATACTGAAGGTAAAATGTTACTCAGGCTAACCCGGGGGTCCCTCACCCCCCTATCCCCTGCACTGTGGTGGATCAGTCCCTGTGCCTGAGGCCAACAATTCCCTGTGGGACGCTGAATCCCGGAGTCCAACTGGGTGTGCGGAGACTCCGGGGAACTTCCATCGCAGCCCGGAGTGGAGCCGAAGGTCCCCCGAAGTTTTGAAGCCGGCTCCGTGGGGCATGGAGGAGGCGCGCAGCACCTGTGTAGAGCGCCCTGGCGTGCTGGTGGCCGTACGGGATCCCGTGGCTGTGTGGACCGTACGTGGTGGGTGTAGGGTCTGGTGAAGAAACGTCGCCGTTGACCACTTCGACATGGACACATCCGTGGTTTCCGTTAAACGCTTTGGTTTTCGCGCCCAAAGAGAGACCATCCCACCGCCGGCCGGCTACCTTAATTTTAAGTTCCGATTAAAGCGACCTGGGCCCTATCCAGACGTCACCCAGTGTCTACACACCCACTGTAGATGTTGGTCAACGTGCCTCTAAGTAGATGCAAGTTTGTTGTTGGTTAGTGTTGACCCTGCAACACCCGCTTCTGCCTTTTGATTTGCTATTGTTTGATAATAAATATTGCTTTATCGGGTAATTAACCCCCCCAACAAACATTGAAAAATAACAATGTTTTCATTTCTGTTATATTTTAATTCAAACCATGCAGTGCTCGATATTGCAATGTGTTTTTCTTTCGATGACCCATCCCGAGCCTAAACTTTCAAACAGCTTCTGCAACGAAACAATTCCAGCAGGACCGGCTAAATATTCCATCCTCTTGGTCACCCGCCCTTGTACTTTGAATTATATATTTTTTGCACGTATAAGGCCCATTGAGCTATACAGTGTATAGCGTTTTCATAAGCGACCTGATCACAAATGATAGCTTAACGACGTCGCTTACCATGTGGAAAAATCCACGCGACCACGGGGAGAACACGCAAACTCCAAATATCTAGGCGTCAGGGTCTGGATCGAACCCACGACCTCCTGTATACCAGGCGAGGTAGTTAACATTTCACTTGGACCAACACCGCGGACTCCTGAGCAAACGCAAGATGAAGTCGCCACGCCATGCCACTTATGCATAAAAAGAAACACCACAAATAGCTTAATTAATCACAAACGGTATTTTTTTAATAATGGCACGATTCAGGGATGCGAACAGTGGATGGAGGGTGGCAGATGACGAGTCTCAATGTTGCACACTTTCCCAGGCAACGAGGGGCAAATTCACACTTCAACCACAATGCGAAGCATTGACCAAATGCAGAGAACGGGGAGTTTGTATACTGCCAACTACAATATAGTAAGTTTAAACATCACAATGAAAAAAAATTAGATCCTATACTTGCGTACGACAGCATTGTGTTCAGTCAGGAGCGAAATGCATGGGTCTCTGCTGGCCACGACGAGAGGGCTTGAGTTGGTGTGGTGTTGCTCTTTCTTCAGTTTAACGAAACAGTGAATGATTGTGGTACAACAATGAGTTCGATTAAGATGGCTGGCAGATATCACCTTCACCTGTAGATAACGGAATGTTTACTGTGGAAAGCTTCAGATAATCTTCTTCAGATAACGTTGAATGTACAATGTAGCGTCAAGAATGTTTACGAGTACGTCGTGTGTACATGATCTTAAGAGATCAAAAAACTAACATTTTCCATTAAATTGGTGCAAGCCACAATCTCGTGCAGTCTTCCAATTAAACGTATTCCCATCTTAGGATCTACATATATTATAAATCAATGCAAAGTATAGTCGCCAATATGAAAGTGTGAATTTAATCAGCACACACGTGAAAGCCACCCTACATCCCTGCAAATCTGTTCAAAATTATAAAGCAAACGAATTCAATAACAGGGAAAACAAAACCTTTTCAACACGTTCACAACACCATCCACACCAGTACCGCAGCTGAGCAGTTACTTTGCACAGCTTCCGTGGACAATGTACAATTAAAGTGCACCCTAAGCCACTACCAAAAAACAAATGTTTCATATCTTTATATAAAAAAAGTTGAATTTATAACAAAAATGCCAAGGTGAGCTTCGTGTATTATTCATCTAGCCAGAGGTCGGTAGCAGAAAAACTTTGGGGGAATTTTTCCCTTCGTTCTCTATCAACATTGTGGTGTTAAACCAGGGGCTGCGTCACTCGAGGCGTTTGACACAACTTGAGGTGTTAAACAACTGGCCACTGTGCGACTCTCGTGGCCTTTAATCCCAGTTGTTTTTTGTGGCTATTTGGTGTGCAGATTCACATGCAATTGCGTGTGTTATCTTTTCAAATAATAACATTTAAACCCCAAAATTGTCAAAACTCCACAAGCAAAGAGTTTGAGATCGAGGGAGATGCCAGCAATAATAATAATGCTTTAAGGTGCAGGCCGCTTGTGTTGTGGCCGCAACGTCGTGATTTTTGTTGTTTTATTTTTTTACCTACGTGACTTTACCGAATAGAACCAAAGAGTATGGATCCTTGCAGTCACGAAAGCTTCAAATCTAGAATTGCCGTGTACATCTTTGACACGCAGTTGTACTGACAGACGCGTTGAGAACACAATTTTGGCCCGAAATCTGCCGAGTGGCAATTTAGTCCAGACGGAATTACTCAAAGCGTGGAAATGAGAAGTTACAATTAAATAATTTCTCTTCCAAAACTGTTTACACCTCCAAAACTCTCACTTCACATTTCAAAGCTGTCATCTTGCTCGCAGTATTTAGACTGCACACGTGGGAACGATTTGTAAATCTGCACCACCAAATAATCCCAGACAACGCAAAAGTGTTCACGTAACTTGTAAATGTAAAACATGTCATCGTGTGATATTTTGTTAAGAATCATTGCTTTTCTTGAAGAGCGTTACAACCGCAGATTTCCTTCTCTGCATTTTAATCTGGCAACATATTTTTTCTACTTGTTAATTTAAGCAAGATCGCAAATATTAGTGCCATGCTTTTGCCGGGAAAGTACATCCTAGATATTGTTTACTAAACCAATGCCATTGAAAACCACCGCAGCAGGAAATAAACCGATACACTTTAAACAGCAACAAAACATCGGCGATAACGAACCAAACTTTACGAGCCACGTGCGGTTGTAATCGCCAGCGTGTCACGGTGCTTTTCACGACTTAAAATTCAGCATGAGCTGTGAGATGTAGACGTCGTTGTCCTGCGACGTGTCGATGAGGTCGACGCAGGCTTTCCTCTCAAACGGCTTGCTCGGGTCCTCATCGGTCGCCATGAAAAGCGCCCACAGACTCCTTCCCTTCACTTGCTTGCCGAACAAAGTCGCTGCCTCCACAGACCACTCGTGCTCGGAGGCAGTACCTTGGGAGATGCACGCACGGTTAAGATACACGCACGGTTAAGATATACACGCACGGTTAAGATATACACGCACGGTTAAGATATACACGCACGGTCAAGATATACACGCACGGTTAAGATATACACGCACGGTTAAGATATACACGCACGGTCAAGATATACACGCACGGTTAAGATATACACGCACGGTCAAGATATACACGCACGGTCAAGATATACACGCACGGTCAAGATATACACGCACGGTCAAGATATACACGCACGGTTAAGATACACGCACGGTTAAGATATACATTCACAGTTAAGATATACGTACGGTTAAGATATACATTGACAGTTAAGATATACATTCACAGTTAAGATATATGCACATAGTTAGGACCTACGTACGGTTAAGATATACATTCACAGTTAAGATATATGCACACAGTTAAGATATACGCACACAGTTAAGATATACGCACGGTTAAGATACATTCACAGTTAAGATATACGCACACAGTTAAGCTATACGCACGGTTAAGATACATTCACAGTTAAGATATACGTACGGTTAAGATATACATTCACAGTTAAGATATACATTCACAGTTAAGATATACGCACACAGTTAAGATATACATTCACAGTTAAGATATACATTCACAGTTAAGATATACATTCACAGTTAAGATATACGCACACAGTTAAGATATACGTACGGTTAAGATACATTCACAGTTAAGATATACGTACGGTTAAGATATACATTCACAGTTAAGATATATGCACACAGTTAAGATATACGTACGGTTAAGATATACATTCACAGTTACATCAGAGCGAGTGTCCGGGCTCAAGTGGGCATCGAGGCATTGGTGCTCTCATCTCCCGTTCACAGCCCCAAGAGCCACTAGTGGAAATTCCACCTTCCATAAGGTGGGGGGGGGGGGCTAAGTCTATTGACAGAACCACCACTGATGACTTCCCCACAAAGTGGTGCTTATTTTAGTGACAATGGAGGGATGATGGGTCAAGTCAATCTCCAAATGGGATTTGAACTTACGACCATTCGATTGTGAGCCGCTCGCTCTGCCACCTGATTTGTGCTTGCTCCACAGTGAGGTATAACACTGGCACATTTCTAAACAATGACCATTTCAATTCCAGAGTTTATATTGGCTCAATCTCATCCTTACACTCCCAAGACACCTATCCACGCCAAAAGGTTCCTCTGCATATGCACCATGACTGATGGTACTTTATCATCATGTATTTTTTTAATTGTATTTAAAAATGCTAAATTATACGACCTGAAATCATGTGCGAGACATTGTTGTATGCTGACCAACGTAACGGGTTCCCACCAGAAAGGCAACGGGGAAAACAAATTCCATCTATTATTCCAGTTCAACTCACCAAACAACTCGGCACACACTCCCTGGATGGGAAGGGTTCTGAATGTTAAGGGAAGAGGCAGAAGTCTGTCCAGCGGCACCACACTGTACTCTCCGTAGTCCAGCTGGTAGACGTTGGCCATTCCACTCATCACACCCTTCACCACAACTCTGTAGAATCTGTCAAGTAACAAGCAAGCGATGAATGGGAATGCACGGCACGAGTTGTACAACATTGAGATCAAGTTACATTTTCCAAAACGTATCTGCTCCAGTTCCATATCCATCACTATCAGCAGCCTTGGTCAATCTACTACTGATAGGGGGAGGGGTTAGTGGGGGATGAGTGCTGGCGAGCAGAATACCATCAGACCATAAATACAATAGTACATACAGTACTATAATTAGTGTACCGGCAAGTATGGTTTTAATTGTTTTGGTCTGTACACTAATGCCTATAATCTACACACTGGTGTACTACACAAACACACATCCTCTACAGGACACAGGTAAGTGTACATGTAATACACATACATTTGGTAATGTTTTTTATATATAGGTTTTAATTGGAATTGCGGCTAGCCGGACTTTCCAGCTCACTGCACCGGGGGCTGCCCGTGAGTCTGGCTTGCAGAGGCTCGTCTCTACTGCAAACACTGCCCCCCCATTTGTATTGCGAGGTGCGGTTGGAATATTTTATGCACTACTTGTCATTGGCTCATTGCACTTTCAAATCGTACCGAGAATTGTCATAATCTTCATTACATTAAATTTGTGGACACATTTTTGTTTTGAATACAATTTCACATCACCAGGGAGTGCACATTATAATGAGATTGGTCGCGATGAGTTTTTTTCAGCCGGTGCGCCAACACCGACGTTTAGTTCCCTGCATTGATATTTTACAACAAACCTTCAACTTAGACTTTCGTGACTGCAGGAATTCATATTCTTGGTTCTTTCGGTAAAGTCACGTAGATAGAAAACAAAAAATCTTAAATAAAAACAACACAAGCGATCTTTATCAGGCTCCCGATGAAGACCGCTTGTGTTGCAGTCTAAACGTCGTGGGGGTTTTTTGCTTTTGTTTTAGCTTTTTTGTTTTCTATCTACGTGACTTTGCCAAAAGAACCAAGATTATAAACCGTCAACTCTTCAACGTTTTCTGATTGAAACGCTCCAAAATGTAAATATCCCAGAGGGATTTCTTACGACCACATTCACTCACCTGTCATCTTCAAATCTCGTGGCGTAAATCTTGCCGACCTGGACGCCGGTCGCAGGCCGGGGTGATTTACTGCGGTAATGCTGCTCCATTTTGTTCATCAAGCGGTCCAGCAAGGGCATCTCCTGGCAGAGTTGCACGACAAACTGGCTTGGTAGGTGGGCGGCGGAGACGAAAACTTGCTTCATCTTACCGAGCGGCAACGCGTGCAGCGGCGGCACCACCTCCTGCTGCTCCTGCTGCTGCTCCTGCTGCTGCTGCTGCAGTGCAGCCGAGACGGGGGACAAGGAGCTTTCCCGCAGTTGAAAAGGCCTCGGCACTTTGGTGCCACCGAAATTGAGCTCGTGAAAATCGAATGTCTCCCCGGGGTACGGCGGCGATAACGCCACGGCACCGTTGCTGTTCCTGCCAGCGGTGCACCGCTGCTCAAACGACTCGGGGTTTTCGCTCGAGCCGACCGATGGACTGGGTTCCACATTAGACCTGGAGCGAAGCGCTCGAGAGATGACGGTGCAGTTCACGGTGTCTTCCCAGTGTTTCCCATCGTTGATAAATAAGTAGATGTTTGAGACAGATGTAGAGTAGTCTGTGGAAACAACCTGAAAAACAAACCAAGAAAAACGTCTCCTAAAAGTCGTCGAGAATATTTTAACTTCAATGCATTACAGAGCCAGGATTGTAATAATAGATGCACTCATGAGCATCAAAGACAAATATATTTAGGAAAATAAATGTAAAATTTTGATTTAAAGCTTTCGTGACTGCAGGGATTCATATTCTTGGTTCTTTCGGTAAAGTCACGTAGAAGGGAAACAATAAAATAATAAAAATATAAAACAATGTAGTATGATGACTTTCATGCTGAACTCCGTACAATTTGAATGTAAGGAACCACTCTGATAAAGCTGATAGACAATCTGACTGGGCTACGGAATAGTGTGGATAGAGCTTTAGGACAACAAATGCTCCCCACCCATATACCAGATGTGAGGCCTCCATAAATAGTTGAGTATTAGACATTTTTAGGAGACGCACAGCTAAAGGCTCACAGGGAGGGTAGAAAAATTATTTCTGAACCAAATGGAGTTTGCATGGAGCTGCCTGTGCGTGAACTGGGGTCACTGCATTCAGAAGACACCACCAGATTAATCTCCGAGGCCATGGGCATCCCGTTAACCTCATCCTCTGCTTCTCAAGCCTCCTCAATCGCTCCACTAATCAATGCCACTGAATCTGATTACCACGACTCCCTTCGTAAGTAAACAGCAACCAAGCGGGAGATGCTACCACATTGGAATCGGCGAGTCGACGAGTGGATGTTAATACTCAAGGACAGAGAGATAAGAGATATAGACAGACAGACAGTGCAAGTTAATACTCAAAGACGTATGGCCTACACCCATTTGCCCGTTGCAGTTGGCTCCTATTGCCAGGCTAATCGCAACATTCCTAGGGACCTAGGAGGGAGGAGGTTTGGGCGTTTCTGATGCGAGGCTGCCCTCACTCCTGGCCTGTATTTATTGAGGGGGGGGGCTTCCTTCTCTGCCACTCTGAATGTCTGGAGCAGGCATTGCCCACGTTGTTGAGATTTGTCCCCGCCCTTTGAGGAATGAACGACAGGAGGACTGGAACGAATGTTGCAATGTAAAATTCTCCCCACTGGTTCAAGGGTATAAATGAAATGAGTAGTACAACTCCACACTCGTATGTATGTTGGATTTCTTTCGCACTGCACGTAGCCAATCGCGTTAATCGGAGGCGACTGTTTTCCAGCATCATGGCCCAACAAGACAGGGAGTGAGTTACTGTCTCTCACCTTCACACCCCAGCCGTGTCTTTCTGCCACACAGCTTCGCAACCAGCGCAGAACCTGCCCCGTCAATTCTACGTGCTCCGTGCCAGCACCGGCCAGTCTGCACTTCACAACCTTTGTAAAACATCACTTGTGATCATTTAGCGCACAAGCCGTTCTTCTTGAATAACAAACATCAGTAAAACGGCGAGCAAAAAGTAATGTAATTCCAGGTGGATGTAGACTTACCTACGTGCTGTGAAATGAGTGTTAAGTCAAGACTTTTACTGCATTTTAAATAATTTCTGGCCAGGAAGCAATGGACGAGCAATATGCATTCATACGAAACTAGAACACTTGCACCTAGTCTTTGCATTTTAATACTTGCCTGCATTAAAAAAATTTCACAATGGATCAGTTTCAGACAAGGACAGGATGAGTATTTCCTACCTGTGCAGGGATCTCCACCAAGTCCTTGATGTGTTGTGCACCGATTCTTAAGAGGCTCGAAGTCTCGATCAGTGCTCTTTTACCGTAATCAGTGAGATAAACCTCCACAATGTGTTGGTCTTGAACATGCAAAATCTACAAGAATGCAATGAAAACACCTTTGTTAGAGTTCAATATGCTTCTCGTGTACAATCGAAATAACATTTCAATATATGGCACTACTTATGTAGTACAACAATATAATAAAAGAGTTATCGACAAACTGCTTTCCACAAAAAGTTTAAGCCAATTACATTCTTAAAAGCAAATGGTTTTAAAAAGTAAAATGCAACTGTAAAAAAGTGATTTACTTCATGAACATTAATACATATTATCCAAGGATCGTAATGCAATTGATTATATTATATTTTGTGAAAATAGAATCCACACCTGAGCTCTTAAATCCCAGCACTTGTGACCAAAATGCAGTAAGTCACAAGAGATGATTACGGAGGGTCTCACAACAACAACCGTCGTTCACCACTAAGTTGCGGTGACTTCACGACAGCACTTGTGCCAGGCTAGGTGCAATTTGAGGCCATGTGAAATGTCGAAGGCCCGCTGTTGGCAGGAGGTCATAAGACAGACCCAGGTGCCATGGATTGACTGAGATGACTGGCAGATGCACAACCTGTGCTCCCTATTGTGCCGCAATGAACACACAGCACAAGACACAACCCACGTTACCCGCTTCTCTGTGTAACGTGGTTTGTGTGTCTTGTGCTGTGAACTTGAAGTGGGCAACGTGGGTTGTGCGAACAGAGAAGCGGGCGTAAAAGGGAGCCCTCTCTCAGGCTCCCTTTTGCTGTCAACGTGGACAGATTTGCACAGATTTGCAACAAGAGCAGAAGGATAGAACGTTTCGCCGTGTCAGAAAGCGCTTTCAGTTTCCACTTGGACGTTCCCGTAGCTACATCTGTTGTTGCACAGGGCAGCCTTGCGCGGGTTGTGACGACGTCGTGACGCCGGCTGCCGTCACGCGCGACGGGGGGGAGGGGGGGGGGCATGCGGCTCAGCCGCCAGCTCAGACACCAATCCTTCTTCAGGAACGTGTTTAGGAAAGGAAGTGCAACGTGTGGTTGGAGGGACAACGGGGGTTTTACAACACGGGGGAGAGCCCGAGGTGGAGAGCAGCAGCAGCAGCAGCAGCGCGAGTGGTGGAGTAAGCGCGCTCTCACCTCCGCACGCACCAGCGGCCTCCCCTCCACGTGTTGGACGAGGCACCGCATGCCACTGAAAACGTGGGGCACGGGCTCCAGGCATGCCACCTCCTGACAGGAGAACATTTACTTGCAAATTACAAACACTGCATAATCGCGCACACAGCATGAGAGATTTAGCGCTCGTATGTGTATTAGGACCAGGGCTACATAAACGTGTTTGCTATCCCTGTGCCAATATAAACCCTGGACACCCTTGTTCTATCAAGGGATTTTACAGGTGAATATCTTCAAGGAATTATAACCACAGGAAGATGTAAAATCACCGCCATACTTCAAATCAATAATGTCAACTTTTAAGACGCATATTTGATCAAATGTTGAATTATTTAACAGGAAAACATTACCACAAACCAACTCTACTCCTAACGCAAGCAAGTATTTTTAGTGAAACCAAGCGGCAGGCACATATTCCTCAACCAAATCCAACACATTTATATCGTCCACTCATAAATGCCAATGACAATTTAGTTCGAAATAGCTTCACCGTTTGACCTACAACAATAGCAGTGTGTGCACGCGAACACACACGGAAAGGGAACCGTGAAAGTAAACTGAAACCACATTAAGGAGGAAAGACTGGTTACAATTGCTTATATGGCACACAGCCTGGGAAGGGGGCGAGACCACCCAATGGTGGCTTGAGAAGAGCCGGCAGGAAGGACTTTACACCACGTGGTAAACAAAGATCCTCACCTTTTCAATCTCTGAAAGGATTCTGTCCACTTTTTTGACAACATTTGTCTTCATTTGGCAGAAGAAAAAACCATCACTGGTCACGTGCTGAATGTAGACGTTTCTATAAGTCACGTTTACCTGAAAGAGAAATTGACTATAAGCGATTTCTGAATTGTGAAGGTTTACTAACTTAAAATGTATTTTCCAATGTTAACAGTGATCCACAAGTCCAAAAAACAATACAGGAATAGAAACTCAGATTCAAGTTTTTCTACTGAAGTTATCCAACCAGCAAAATTGTTGCGTGTAACATTAACACTAGTAATTACCTTAGGTAATGTGGAATATAAATGTAATCATGACACCCTTAAATAAGGATAACCCCTGCTAGCATTTCCCAGCGCTCTCCGACACAGCTACACATTCTATCCTGCTGCTCTCTATTTTGATACGAGTTGTTATGCCCATCACTGTGAGCGTAACATCATGACAAGTCGTCTCTTTCACTGCCGTTAAGACAACTGCAGTTGGTCAAAATGCAGCCAAAAAACATTTACCGTTCTTAAAACCCAACTCGATTACGCCGACGAAAGTCCAACTGTAAATTGCTACAGATTAAATGTGTTCCACGGCGTGCGAGTCAAGTAACGTCTCGTCAACAGGCCCGACTGGCATTTTAAAAGAAGACGTTACACCAACCTCGAGCTGCAGGGCAAGACGCCTGTCCTCTAACGCTCTTAAACAGGCGGCGTTGATGTTCGCCCCAGAAGGGTCGTACAGAACCACCAGGGCTTCGGGGATTTTCTTCAAAAGTTTCAAGTGCAGGATGTGGTCATAAGCCATCGAGCAAAGGCAATTGAGGACCGCCTTGTCCCTGCAAAAGTATTCCAAGCCTAGCAAACCAACAAAGACAAACGTCAAGTCAGTGAAGTGGCGGTGGGTGCTCATCTCATTTTTATAGCCCTCAGTTCGCTGAGCCACCTGTGTCTGGATAAAGGTTAAGTACATTTTTTGCGGCATATAAACACCACTTTAACAGCACCCGAAACGTATCTAGACACAGCCCACACTCACCACCTTTGTTTACATCCAAATTGTATCCAGTCACCGTAAACACCACTGATGCCTACTTTTTTTTTTAAACCGAGTAAATTCCATTCTTTGTAATCTTTTGAAAAGTACTACAATACCCCGGTGGCTTACGTTTTCGAGGATGCCTTGCTGAAAGGTGCGACGACGAATATTGAAACGTCAATAAAAGCAATTTCAGTCTGCACGCCACGAGAGCTCAACAAAGACAATGGAGGCTACGGCGAAGCTGTGTTAAGGCGTGGACCTTCATACAAGGACGTACCCACGTTACATTACATTACTAAAAATATTGTACTCAACACTCGTGTATAGCAATAACATTTTACACAACCTATACAGGGTACAATAAGATACAGTACACGCTATAACATCACTAAAATACTATAGATAAAAAAATCTATTGTAAACGACAGCGCAGTATATTTCTTCATGCGCGACGTAACGTAGTTCGTGTACGGGATAGGTGGAGGCGAAGGCTGAGAGGCGACGGATACGAGAAGGGACGATGCTGTCAGCGATGTGTGTGGGTTTGAGGCGACGCAAATCCAGTAGCGATGTTCAAACAAATTTACGTATTTGCGAAACGACGTAAAATAGGCAGACGTAATTTTGGGTATTGCTGTAGTTATGCCAATCTGTACAAAGGTTACGCCAAGCTCTCCTTGAACAACACCGGTGTGGACTAGGCTGGTGGGGAATGCAATAGATTATAAGTCTCAACATTTGTTTTTGAGCACTCTCATGAGACCAGTCAATCACGGATGGGTCGTGCTAATAACACGCAGAGAATCGGCTCTTTAAAATAACACCGCTTCAAGCCTGTTGCTGAACTGGCTCAAACTCAAGAATGGATCCCGAACATCTGCCAGCAACTGCTTCCAGGTCTTTGGGCCGGACACCCCAAAAATATACAGGGTACTACTGCACTTCCAATAAATATTTTCACATTTCAGCCCCAAAACACCTTACCTGCTAGCTGGCACACAAGCGCAAGCATATGCTGGCTGCAAAATGTGTCTTCCAACTGACGAACATCAGACTTCTTTATTTCTAGCGAGAGGCCCAGATCAACACACATAACCTTCAATGGATAACAACAGGGACACGTGAAATAATTTAGCATCACTTGACTTTTGACGAGATGTATAACAATTCAGGTTTACAAGCAGCAACGTTTCCTGTACTATCCTTACATGCCACACAGCCTGACACAAACACACGGGTTGTTCACACCGACTCATTAAAGCAACTCCATGCTCGTGGCCTCCTCCTCGTTTAAAAAACGACAAATATAATAACATACATTATAGACCATTGCGGTATATTCTGGGTACAACATGCACCTCCATTCTTTATCTCCACATACAAATAATGTATACATTTTACTCTGTTGGCCAATGGAGCAAGAGGCTTAGAAATGAAGGAGGAGCAATGGGCTCTCCTCTATCTCCTTTGAAGCTGACAGAACTCGACCATTTCTGGATATTCTGCTCGGGCACGGTTGAAATGGTAAAATAACAAACAGCGTTTACCGAAAGAAAAGGCACACTTACGCCTATAAGAATGCAGTCACACCATCACTCCGCACATAAATAATCTTATCAAGACAGTCATACATCGGGCTAAGACAGTGTCAGGTGGTGACAGAGAAGTGAAATTAAACATGTTAAAGAATCGCTGCAATTGAACGGTTACAATGATCCACAAATCAACAGGGCATTGAATGCCAAAACCAAAAAAAATAACACCAGCGTTGAAACTGACCAAGTAATTTAAACTATTAAAATACCGTACATTGCCGGAGTAACTGATAAACTAGCTAGTTGTTTGGAAAAACAAAACACCCGAGTCAGATTTGGCACAGTACATAAAATACAGAAATTCATATCTGGAACAAACATATGTATTACCGAAGCTATCAACAGAAGGTGTACAGGATTAATTGCACTTGTGGCAAATGCTATGTTGGGCAAACAGGACGAATATAAATCAGCACGAGACTAAAAGACCAAATAAATATTAAATACTCCCAAATACAACTGTTGGCAGTGGTAGAACACACGTGCCAACAAGAACACTCGATTGATTTTGATGTTGAAGTTCTGTGCAAAACTAGTTACTACTGGCCAAGGCTAATCAGAGAATCTATCAAAATTGAGAGATAGATAAATAATTTGAACTGTTCAAATAGCTACAGCCTTAGTGCTGCTTGGAAGCGAATCATCAAATAATACATTGTTTAAATGCATGCCTATAGAGGTAACCATACTTCCATAGGGATTACCGTTGAACAATTAACTGGTATGGATATTTTAGTGCACACAATCGACAGGAGGTACAAGAATAATGAGTTTGCATAATGTGCATCCATAATATACATTGATTACCATATGCATAACCTAACTGGCAATCGAAACCCATTGTCATTCATTAACCCCCCCCCCCGCCTCCCCCGACATCGCCTCTACGAGTACGCTCAAGAAGTGCTAACAAGTGATGCCATCACATCTACCCTTCTATTTACATTTTAAAATGCCGCTGGTCAATAGACTGATAAGACTAATATATATTTTGTTTAATGTGATATAGAATTTTTTTAATATACAAGAGCTCCAGAAGACTATCGATGCCATCTGCCAGTGAGATTAGACAGGCCACCCGCACGTCAGTGCTCAAACACACGTTAACCTGCCAGTGGCCACTTGCACACGCGTGTTCCTCTCATTCTCAGCTGTACTGCACGTGGTGTACAGGTGACATCTTGAATCCCGTTATTGACCACTATTGAATTACCTAACTCCGCAAAAGACATGCAAGTCCACTTGCCTCGACGTGGTCACCGGACACGTTGACAACAGACGCCCGTAGCCAGCCCCGCTCCTCGGCATGCACAGCCACCAACTCATTGACGCTGAAGCAAGGCATCATCCTGCCCTTATTGGAGTCATAATATAGGTTCATCGATTCAATAAGTTCATTCAATTGGCAAGCGTATATTCCGCTGCAATATCTATAAAATATGAAAGAAAAACAGTGAACGATTTGACAAAACAGCAGCGTTGTTACAACAAGCGTGTGCTTCGGAGCTTCCACGAAAAAAAGGCATCGAATTCTCACCTCACAATCACCTCGTTAGTCGATTCGGCCGTGACGAATGAAACTAACACAACGTCTTCTTCGGACAGGGTCAGCGATGGAATCTGCACGCACGCCGAGCAGAGCTTTTCATTCACGCAGGTGCCATTTTCTGTGTAAAGCACCACGATGGCAAATTCTCCTTTTACTTCTTCCACTTTGACCTTCAACCGCTCGCTCAGGCAGTTGAGTTCCCTGAGGGCCGTGGAGGCCCACTGCGCGCCGTGCTCACCCATGGGACGCAGGCAACAACGCACGCACTGGGCGGGGAGACGAGCACACGCAGGGGGTAACTTGCAGACCTCTGTGCGGACGCAGCTGGTGTGAAAGCCGTAATCTATTGCGAAAACGATGGCGGTCTGTTCTTTCACGTCAACGGACTGGACTTGACCTCGATACCAGCTGTTCGATATCTCAAAAGAACAGAAGGTTCCTTGGACGAATTGGGCGAGCTCCCTTTTACCAGTTGCATACTGATTGAGCAGCATGTTGCTGATGCTTCTCAAATCGTTTTCCAGAAAGTCCGTTTCAAATTGGATGTAAAATTCTTCGCAGTGTCTTACCCAACTGATCTTCCCAAATGTCAATTCAGCCTTTGGCAAAACAGCAGGTGCGACAATTACCTCAGAGATGTCTGGAAAATGAAGAATTACACTTTTTGGATTGTTTTTCAGAGGCATGTCCAAGTCAAAAATCTCTGAAAGGCATTCATATTTCTGTATTATCTCCTCAGGAAGTGTCTGGTTATATTTCTTGAAAAATAAATTTGGGAGACACTTCAACCAAATTCCACTCCTGTGATCCTTCAGCAGGTTACACAGCTGTCGTTTCAAAACATCATTCAATGGCGACTTATTTTCATGCTTTTTTTCCAACAAGCTTTGAAAAGGTGTGAATTTCACCACGTTGCCCAAGTTCCCTTGGAGTCCTACCCCAGAAGGGTTGAGACCATCAACTTGCATTCTGGCATCATCAGATAGCATGACTATGCAACTGCCAGATCTTTCAGAACCAAATCTTTTCACCTGCAATATAAAAATAACGAGTTACACAGTGAAACTTTATGATCATAAGGGCACAAAGCATCCTTCCCACAAATCTCGACACCGAACATGACACTTAACATGTGGATAAGGAGTTAACCAGCTAATTCAGTCGATTATCCACACATTTTGTGACCACAAGCGAAGTAAATTTAAGCCTATGGATGATAATAGGGTTTTCCCCTTTTTTCTGGCAACAAAACAGGTGTTAAGATGATAAAACACCAAACTGAAACCTTTTACAAGGAATCATGTCTGCATTACCCACAATACTTGTGGTCAGAATGCAAACAAAAGCATACTATAAGAAATGCATTGTCCTTGAAACTGATTGGTCCACACCGGAGGCAGCTTTCTTTTGAACCTCGTCTCAAACGGTGGTAGACCAGAGGACACCAAAAGGCGTAACTGTGGATAAGAGGATTTCGAATCAACTAAAACATAATTTTACATGAAACTATTTGACCAAGAGCCTCAGATAGTCCTAAAATGTTACGTACGTGGCATATGTCAGTCCATTTGTTCAAATATTCCAGTATAACCTCTGGTAAGTCTTCAGCAAAGGTCCGTTTATACAACTTAGATAAATCGGACCACAGAATGCATTTTTGCTCAATGAGTATAGTCTGAATGCGCTTTCTCAAAACAGAATGCGCAAATAAGGAGTCTCTTGAGTTATTTTCACATGCCTCATCGCATCCTTTCAAGCCTGATGAAAAACCATACATCGGCAAACTAGGGCAAGAAAGAAAAGTAATACGTTAGTCAAACATCGGTGAAACTTCCCAGAACATTGACACGGTTCCGTGTAAAACACATTCTTAGTCGTGTTTCACAAGGTTCCGTGTAAAACACATTCTTAGTCATGTTTCACAAGTTATTGAAAACAGTAAAATAAACACATTTGACTTACTGATCACCATCATGTTGTAAGGTTTTAGACATGTGTGATTGAGTAAAGGCAGGCATTTCACTGCAATATTCCAAGGGGTTTTCATTACCAGCCGGTGGTCGCATGGTTTGCTCTGTTAAATTTAAAACACAATAAAACATGCCGAGTCACAACACATGATTACAGTGTATTTTTGAGTACAATGCTTCTCATAATGTGAAGCTCAATTGAAATTCTTGCACACATACTACCAAATAAACCAAAACAGAGCCAAATTTAATTCGCCTATCTCAGACAAATGCCCCAAATGCCCACCAGACACTCCACAAACAGACTGTCATGCATTTTGGGACTGCCCTGACATCACCAGATTGTTTAGCCTTGTGATTTGTTACTTCAATCACATCACCAAGTTGTCCGTCACCCCATCAACTTCCACCAACCTCCCTCGGCTTACCGACCACCAGGACTCACCAAAGGGGAAAACTCCCTGTATTAGATCTTTAACACTGAAGGGAAAAAAAGAGTAATCCTCTGCACATGGCAGTCACACACACCACCTCTCTCCAGGCCTGCCTGGCCCTCAAGCCAAACTGCTCGCTGAAATATTTTTGCATGGTCCTCAGCAATTGGGAGGAGGAATTCAAAAATTCTCCACCCCTCCGGCAAGGTTAAAGACCTCGTGGTCTTAGTCCAAGGGCTTAACCCCCCCCTCCGCTTCTCCTCTAATCCCCTATCCTCCCCCTGCGTTAAATTTGTTATCTTATTCGTGTTCCCCTTCGTGTCACGCTAGGCATCACACGCCCACACTCTCCCACCGCCACATCCCTCCTACTTGCCCCACCAGACGTACCCTCGTTCAACACGTACTCACCGATTGCCACCACCCCAAGAGTCACGCAAAAATCCACAACACACACACACCCCGGCTTGCCTCCCCCACAACACTCCTCAAAGCATCACCTCTATATTGTCTCCCACTGATAACATTCACCCCCTCCCCCCATGTGGGACACCAACCCACGTGTCGGTGCTACTCCTCCACTGCGCTTCACCCTTCGTGTGTCCACACCCAACCCCGTCTGACCGTACGCTGCACCTTCCCCCCGTTTTTCTAAATCTTCAATGAAACACTTATGGTAAATACAAGTACAAAGCTCTTGGGAATCATACTGCAGTAAATCATAATCTGCACCACCACATAGTGAACATACTTTTACATCTTAAAAATGTATAAAATACTATTTATAAATAGTGGTGTTTTGCAAGATACCGATCTGCACGTGTCTCCTCTGGAGTTGCAATGATGACGTGTGTGAAAGTCCCGTTTCGACACCCATACTGAGATCACCAAATTCACTGCCTGGTGAAGCAGGCGGCAGTTCTACTGGGTGGCATGTGATCTGGAATAAAAAAAAATCCTGTCCTTGAGAAAACATTAAATGTTAAGATAGTATGCTTATTCTTGGGTCTTTCGGTAAAGTCACGTAGATAGGTTCAAAGAAAATAACAAATAATAACTAATTTTATTTTAACCTATCTACGTGACTTTACCGAAAGACCCAAGAATATAAATTCCTGCAGTCACGAAAGCTTTAAGTCAAGATTTAAGATAGTATGCTATTATACACAGTCAACACCCGTCTACCATGGTCTGCTCAAACGAAGGTGTTTTCTATGTGTTTATGAGCAATGTTAGTCTGATCACACCTTGTGGCGTGTGATGCTCAAGGCTCTGCAGTGCACCATTAACCCTTCTGCACTGGCACATCTGAGCAGCGCCAGTACGGGCTTTCTCGCTACGGGTAGTTTTCCCACTATTTGTCGCTCCAAGCCACATGCAAATTGTGAAACTCTGGCCTCACAAGTCATGTGAATCAGGCTTGGGGCCAAGCAGGGCCAGGCAGGGTGGTGGTGTAAGAATTGTTATCGTACGTTGAATTAGCCAGTAAACTTGAACGTATAACAGAAGTGACTCATCCATCGCGTGACATCTGCAGTAGACATCAACCTCCTGAGCCGCAACAAAATTTGGCCGGGCTGGGTGGGTGGTGGTCTCACCTTACCAGTGGGGCTAGATCGCACGCTCACCACGCCGGGCAGACGCTGAACCAGGTTATCCACATGGCAGCCGCCGGGCTCCAGGCGCGACGGCTCGCTGGGGAAGTGGTGGTACTCCGCGGATGTGCACAACGACAGCGGCGCGCCGCCCAAGGACTCCCAAGAGCGTGGCAGGGTGCCCCCCTTGGATTTGGGGTCCATCCCATTCCACATTTCTGCTGCTGCGACAAGAGATCAACGCTCACCGACACCATGCACGGGCAGTCAGCAGCTGCGCGAGAACCACAGGGCACAGGCCACGACAAACAACATCCAGCAGACACCACGCGGAGCCCAGACAGCCACTATGGAAACAAATAGCATGGTAAGTATGCCGCCGTAAACACTACAAGCATCTATTAAAGGTATTCTTCCAGCTACACCACACAGCTACACCACATGTAGCTATTCTCCCAGCTACACCACACAGCTACACCACACGTAGCTATTCTCCCAGCTACACCACACGTAGCTATTCTCCCAGCTACACGACACAACTACACCACACGTAGCTATTCTCCCAGCTACACCACACAGTTCTTCTTTCGTAGCTGCTTGTGCCCAGGCAATCCCTCCCAGGCGTTTGGGCTTAATTCATGGACAAAACACCGACGACGTTGTTGATGATGAAGTTTAATCCGAAGTGACCCTCAGAAGTGGGACAAATGCCGTTACATGATACTGTACTTCAATGCAGTGGGTCTCGTCAGGGTGCATCTGTGATTACAGAGATAAGACTGGCCTTAAAAGTCGACATCACGGCCAATAGCCCACCTTTAATATCACGTGCCACACGCAGCGTCACCAAATAATCCGTGATTTTGAAGTCACGTTTCACTGTCAATGTAAAACATTAATCTCTGTTCGCGGGACACGCAGCCCAGGGGCGTTGTGTGGCGAAACTGCGACGTCGCCGTCGTTCGAGTCACCCTGACCCACCGCGTCACCCTGACCCACCGCGTCACCCGACCCACCGCGTCACCCGACCCACCGTGTCACCCTGACCCACCGCGTCGCCCTGACCCACCGCGTCGCCCTGACCCACCGCGTCGCCCTGACCCACCGCGTAGCCCTGACCCACCGCGTCACCCTGATCCACCGCGTTACCCTGACCCACCGCGTAGTCCTGACCCACCGCGTCACCCTGACCCACCGCGTCACCCTGACCCACCGCGTCACCCTGACCCACCGCGTCACCCTGACTCACCGCGTCACCCTGACTCACCGCGTCACCCTGACTCACCGCGTCACCCTGACCCACCGCGTAGCCCTGACCCACCGCGTCACCCTGATCCACCGCGTCACCCTGACCCACCGCGTAGTCCTGACCCACCGCGTCACCCTGACCCACCGCGTCACCCTGACCCACCGCGTCACCCTGACCCACCGCGTCACCCTGACCCACCGCGTCACCCTGACTCACCGCGTCACCCTGACTCACCGTGTCACCCTGACTCACCGCGTCACCCTGACTCACCGCGTCACCCTGACCCACCGCGTCACCCTGACTCACCGCGTCACCCTGACCCACTGCGTCACCCTGACTCACCGCGTCACCCTGACCCACCGCGTCACCCTGACCCACCGCGTCACCCTGACTCACCGCGTCACCCTGACTCACCGCGTCACCCTGACTCACCGCGTCACCCTGACTCACCGCGTCACCCTGACCCACCGCGTCACCCTGACTCACCGCGTCACCCTGACCCACTGCGTCACCCTGACTCACCGCGTCACCCTGACCCACCGCGTCACCCTGACTCACCGCGTCACCCTGACCCACCGCGTCACCCTGACTCACCGCGTCACCCTGACTCACCGCGTCACCCTGACCCACCGCGTAGCCGCGCTACAGCGGCCAGGGCGGGCGAGCGAGGCGACCTCTTTCTCACGGCGAGGGTGGCGACTTGGATCGCCTCAACACACTTCCCATTCCATCAGAGACGGTTTCTGAGTACCCCGGGTATCGCCTGAACAGACTGATGAGGCAAGTGCCGTTAGCGAGTCGCGCCGACGAAGGCCGGCACGACACACACGAGGGTGGGGGGGTGCCCAGCACCGCCTTCGTCTCCCCAGTGGTGATATTTACACACGACACCAGGTGCTCGTTTGAGGCCGAGACGAACTAGGAGAGGCCCAGGCCCGGTTCAAGATAATCGTCACCGGCCTTGATGGCCGTGAGCGGGAATCGAACTTGGCTCGTCGGGTCCGTAGCGCAGCGTGGCGCTAACCGCCGCGCCACCGCTCCCCACCCACACCAATATAAAGTGTCCCCCCCCCCCCGCCCCCATCCGGGCGGTGGGCTGCTCGTCCCCGTCGATCTTTGTTCGCAACGGAGCCGCACAAACCTTGGCAGCAGATGCGGCGGCCTGACATGCACACGTGGACAATGACACAAACCCTCCGCGGCCAGCCACTGTGGTCACCCATTGCAGGAATTCGAATGTTTGTTTTACCTTGACTCAATCCTCTCACACGCGGTGGCATCGGTTAATACGCAAGAGACTTTCGCGACCAACATCATCCACAATCGAGGTTTCTTGGGGGGTTACATCGCGTAAATGCGTCGTTAAACCCGCCACCACACATGCCAATGTTCTGTTTACGTGACAAGCCTTACTAAGTGGTGGTGGCGGGTTCAACGACACATTCATATTTACGCGATCTAACAATAAACACCTCTATCATGTACGGGGTGGCATCGTGGTCACGCCACACACCACCACAAGGTAACATCACACACACACACCACCACAAGGTAACATCACACACACACACCACCACAAGGTAACATCACACACACACACCACCACAAGGTAACATCACACACACACACCACAAGGTAACATCACACACACACAAACCACCACAAGGTAACATCACACACACACACACCCCACCACAAGGTAACATCACACACACACACCCCACCACAAGGTAACATCACACACACACACACCACCACAAGGTAACATCACACACACACACACCACCACAAGGTAACATCACACACACACACACACACAAACCACAAGGTAACATCACACACACACACCCCACCACAAGGTAACATCACACACACACCCCACCACAAGGTAACATCACACACACACACACCACCACAAGGTAACATCACACACACAAACACACCACCACAAGGTAACATCACACTCACACACACACCACCACAAGGTAACATCACACTCACACACACACCACCACAAGGTAACATCACACACACACCACCACAAGGTAACATCACACACACACACCACCACAAGGTAACATCACACACACACACCACCACAAGGTAACATCACACACACACACCACCACAAGGTAACATCACACACACACCACCACAAGGTAACATCACACACACCACCACAAGGTAACATCACACACCACGAGACAAAATCACAAGGTAACATCACACACACACACCACCACAAGGTAACATCACACACACACACCACCACAAGGTAACATCACACACACCACCACAAGGTAACATCACACACACCACCACAAGGTAACATCACACACACCACCACAAGGTAACATCACACACACCACCACAAGGTAACATCACACACACACACCACCACAAGGTAACATCACACACACACACCACCACAAGGTAACATCACACACACACACCACCACAAGGTAACATCACACACACACACACACACCACCACAAGGTAACATCACACACACACCAGCACAAGGCAACATCACACGCACACACCACCACAAGGTAACATCACACGCACACACCACCACAAGGTAACATCACACGCACACACCACCACAAGGTAACATCACACACACCACAAGGTAACATCTCACACACCACACCACAAGGTAACATCACACACACCACAAGGTAACATCACACAAAGATAAAAAAGATCAAGATTCCCCGTATAGCCTTAACAGACTGTAGGGGCAAGTGCTGTTAGCGAGCACCTATGAAGGCCGGTAACGGTACACGAGGGGGTGGGTGGCCAGCCGCACGCCCGACCGCCTTTGTCTCCCTAGTGGAAATGTTTACACACCGCACCAGGTACTCATTTGAGGCTGAGTCGACCTAGGGGAGGCACGGGACCGGTTCAGATAATCGTCACTGGTGTTGGCCGTGAGCGGGAATCGAACCCGGGTCGCCAGGTTCATAGCGCAGCGCGCTAACCGCTACACTATCGCTCCCCACAACACCACCACAAGGTAACATATCACACACACACACACCACAAGGTAACATCACACAGACACCACCACAAGGTAACATCTCGCACACACACACACCACAAGGTAACATCACACACACACCACCACAAGGTAACATCACACACACACCACCACAAGGTAACATCACATACACACCACAAGATAACATCACACACACACCACAAGGTAACATCACACAGACACCACCACAAGGTAACATCTCACACACACACACCACAAGGTAACATCACACACACACCACAAGGTAACATCACACACACACCACAAGGTAACATCACACACACACACACCACAAAGTAACATCACACACACCACAAGGTAACATCTCACACACACACAAGGTAACATCACACACACCATCACAAGGTAACATCACACATACACAAGATAACATCGCACACCACAAGGTAACATCACACCCCAGGTATCACACACACACACACACCACCACAAGGTAACATCACACACACACACAAGGTAACATCACACACACCACAAGATAACATCGCACACACCACAAGATAACATCGCACACACACCAGGTAACATCTCACACACACCACCACAAGGTAACATCACACACACCACAAGGTAACATCTCACACACACCACAAGGTAACATCACACACACACACACCACAAGATAACATCGCACACCACAAGGTAACATCACACACACCACAAGGTAACATCACACACACACCACCACAAGGTAACATCACACACACACCATCACAAGGTAACATCACACACACCACAAGGTAACATCACACACACCACAAGGTAACATCACACACACCACAAGGTAACATCACACACACCACCACAAGATAACATCTCACACACACCACCACAAGGTAACATCTCACACACACCACCACAAGGTAACATCTCACACACACACCACAAGGTAACATCTCACACACACCACACGGTAACATCTCACACACCACAAGGTAACATCACACACACCACAAGGTAACATCACACACACCACAAGGTAACATCACACACACACCACAAGGTAACATCACACACACACCACAAGGTAACATCACACACACCACAAGGTAACATCACACACACCACCACAAGGTAACATCTCACACACCACAAGGTAACATCTCACACACACCACAAGGTAACATCTCACACACACCACAAGGTAACATCACACACACACCACAAGATAACATCGCACACCACAAGATAACATCGCACACCACAAGGTAACATCACACACACAAGGTAACATCACAAACACCACAAGGTAACATCACACACACACCACCACAAGGTAACATCACACACACACCACCACAAGGTAACATCACACACACACCATCACAAGGTAACATCACACACACACCATCACAAGGTAACATCACACACACCACAAGGTAACATCACACACACCAAAAGGTAACATCACACACACCACAAGATAACATCACACACACACACAAGGTAACATCACACTACAAGGTATCACACACACACCACAAGGTAACATCTCACACACACCACCACAAGGTAACATCACACACACACCACCACAAGGTAACATCTCACACACACACAAGATAACATCGCACAGCACAAGGTAACATCTCACACACACACACACAAGGTAACATCACACACACACACACCACAAGGTAACATCACACACACACCACAAGGTAACATCACACACACCACAAGATATCATCGCACAGCACAAGATAACATCACACACACCACAAGGTAACATCACACACACACCACAAGGTAACATCACACACACATACAAGGTAACATCTCACACACACACAAGGTAACATCACACACACAAGGTAACATCACACACACTACAAGGTAACATCACACACCAGGTATCACACACACAAGGTAACATCACACACACCACAAGGTAACATCTCACACACACAAGGTATCATCACACACACACAAGGTATCATCACACACACCACTACAAGATAACATCTCACACACACACCACCACAAGGTAACATCTCACACACACCACAAGGTAACATCTCACACACACCACAAGGTAACATCTCACACATACCACAAGGTAACATCTCACACACACCACAAGGTAACATCACACACACCACAAGGTAACATCACACACACACCACAAGGTAACATCACACACACACCACAAGGTAACATCACAAACACACCACCACAAGGTAACATCACACACACCACAAGGTAACATCACACACACACAAGATAACATCACACACACACAAGATAACATCACACTACAAGGTATCACACACACACACGCCACAAGGTAACATCTCACACACACCGCCACAAGGTAACATCTCACACACACCACCACAAGGTAACATCACACACATCACCACAAGGTAACATCTCACACACACAAGATAACATCGCACAGCACAAGGTAACATCTCACACACACAAGGTAACATCACACACCACCACTGGTAACATCACACACACACACACACCACAAGGTAACATCACACACACAGCACAAGATAACATTGCACAGCACAAGATAACATCACACACACCACAAGATAACATCACACACACCACAAGATAACATCACACACACCACAAGGTAACATCACACACACCACAAGGTAACATCACACACACGCAAGGTAACATCACACACACGCAAGGTAACATCACACACACTACAAGGTAACATCACACACACTACAAGGTAACATCACACACACACTACAAGGTAACATCACACACACACTACAAGGTAACATCACACACACACTACAAGGTAACATCACACACACCAGGTATCTCACACACACAAGGTAACATCACACACCACAAGGTAACATCACACACACCACAAGGTAACATCACACACACACAAGGTAACATCACACACACACAAGGTAACATCACACACCACAAGGCAACATCTCACACACACAAGGTAACATCACACACACAAGGTAACATCACACACACCACAAGGTATCACACACACCACAAGGTATCACACACAAGGTAACATCACACAAGGTAACATCACACACACCACAAGGTATCACACACACCACAAGGTATCACACACAAGGTAACATCACACAAGGTAACATCACACCACAAGGTATCACACACTACTACTACTCTACACCAACATAGCCACGCGAAGGCTACAACACCGTCATCATCGTTGCGTTTAAGGCCAAATTTAGCATATTGAACGCTTGGAAATGCGGTGCAGCGAGACGCAGCTAACAAGAGCGAGGCCTGTGTGCCATGAAGAAACGTCGCCGATTGTCTTTTATTCTTTAAGGCCACAGCGTTGTTGTTGACGAGTGTGCCGAGGTTTGTGTGTGTGTTTTTTTTGTAACAAGTCATCATTGCTCTGCGCGCTGCTCGGTTTGTGAGCATCTTGATTGGGAACGTTTACATTTTAAATGCTTAAGAGTCTCTAACAAACCCCCGGCCCCACCCCCTCCTTACACGACGGACGGGATGAACGAGTATGCCCGACATTGCAGGAAGTTCCGCTCGATTACATTTCGCGTCGTGTTAAGGAGTTACAATTTGGAGTTTACGTCGATGTGTTTAAAGTCGGGAGTGAAGCTTTTATTGACACCAATCTGATAAACGATTCAAAAGTAGAACCGACGGTAATGTCACGGTTGCTGAACGCAAGCGGCCGGTAACAAACAGCACCGCTAAAGTAGTAATAAAGAGATTTAAATAAACACGTTTATTGATTTAAGATATTCACTATAAGAACTCGGGTAAATTGTTATGGGGGATGTGAATCTCCAGTGGCGCAGTGCTTGCGAGCGAGATGAACAGCAGAGTTGTAAGATACCTGCTGCTGCTCCTGCTGCTGCTGCCTTTCTCCCTCTCGTGTCCGCTGCTGCAGCAGCTGCTCCTGCTGCTGCTGCCTTTCTCCCTCTCGTGTCCGCTGCTCCTGCTGCTGCTCCTGCTGCGTCTCTTTGTGGCGGCCCGCCCAACGGGAAACCGCGTGGCGCCAGTTGCGGCCACGCGCTCGTCACGTGACCGAGGGCGGCACCGCCACGTGACCAAAAACGCGCGCGAAACCACGCATCACCGGACATGCGATGGTCACGCAAACGCCAGCTGACGACTTCAATTGTGATAAATCTATATTTAAAATAATTAACGTCTATCGCATGCCTCTGAGGGAATCGCGTTATTTCGTCTGTGCAAAGCAGAATATAGCATATACGGTTATACACTAAAATATCACAATGCTGACGGAAAAAAATTTAAACTGTTGATGTTTCGTTCAACGTCACATCCGTTATTTGTTCGTGCCGCTCCGAAATGACGTCACATGTGGGTCCGCGCTTTTTGGCATAGACAACGTCACGCGGCAAAAAATCTTAACTAAAAAACATGACATCACGTCCGCCAGAAGAGTGACGTCACGCGAAGAAGGGGTCCCAAACGCGCTCCGCCGAGGTTCCCCCAAGACCCGGGCGAGCGAGGTGAGTCGGGGTGAGGGGCAGTGAGGGTGAGTCGGGGTGAGGGGCAGTGGGGATGAGTCGAGGTGAGGGGGTAGTGGGGATGAGTCGGGGTGAGGGGTAGTGAGGGTGAGTCGGGGTGAGGGGCAGTGGGGATGAGTCGGGGTGAGGGGCAGTGGGGATGAGTCGAGGTGAGGGGGTAGTGGGGATGAGTCGGGGTGAGGGGTAGTGAGGGTGAGTCGGGGTGAGGGGCAGTGGGGATGAGTCGGGGTGAGGGGCAGTGGGGATGAGTCGGGGTGAGGGGCAGTGGGGATGAGTCGAGGTGAGGGGCAGTGGGGATGAGTCGGGGTGAGGGGCAGTGGGGATGAGTCGAGGTGAGGGGGTAGTGGGGATGAGTCGGGGTGAGGGGTAGTGAGGGTGAGTCGGGGTGAGGGGCAGTGGGGATGAGTCGGGGTGAGGGGCAGTGAGGGTGAGTCGGGGTGAGGGGGCAGTGAGGGTGAGTCGGGGTGAGGGGGTAGTGAGGGTGAGTCGGGGTGACGGGGTAGTGGAGATGAGTCGGGGTGAGGGGGTAGTGGGGATGAGTCGGGGTGAGGGGCAATGAGGATGAGTCGGGGTGAGGGTGAGTCGGGGTGAGGGGGTAGTGGGGATGAGTCGGGGTGAGGGGGTAGTGGGTGAGGGGGTAGTGGGGTGAGGGGGTAGTGGGGTGAGGGGGTAGTGGGGTGATTGCGGTGGGAGGGGTCAGCGAGGTGAGTCCGGCGGGGTGACGTCTCGGTGAGCGCCCATGCGCCCGGTTCTTGTTACATCGTCTGGTCGCCGTGTGCACAGCACCGTGTCACTCCACTGCTGGATGAGGCCCCCGCAGGATGCTCGTGTGCAGGGTTCGCGAAGCGTGGACCCGCGACCGGTGCCTAGATATCGCTCGCCGCTGGCGTGAGACGTGGCCGGTGAATGAAGTTGAGAGAGATGAGAGAGAGATGAGAGCGATATGAGAGAGATGAGAGAGAGATCGCCTGCTTCGTGACGCAGGGATAGAGGACCCATTGCGGCCGCTCTGCTAAACTCGAGTTACCATCATCGTTAGCACTCATTAATTCCCAGAGGTTACCTGTGTGTACTTGGGCAACTCTTAATCATCATCATCATTCCATCGTGTCCCTGCGTCACTGTTTCGGCCTCTTTTTATCACTGCCGCTTCTTGTAATTTTCACCGTCACGCCTCGTGTTGTCCTGTAAAAGTATTCCTCTCGGCTAGAAGCCACATTGTACATACTCGTTGTCTCACTGCGTCTATGTAAACATGTCGATAAATACGAAGCTACTTTTTGGTAATTTCATTTCCCTATTTAAGAACTGGTTCCATAGTGTAAACAAGGGCAGTCTCCAATCATTGTTTACTCCATCTCTCTGGCAAATGTGCTGTGAGGAAGGGCCATTGCCCGAAACGTCGCCGATTACATGTTTTATGTTCAGGCAGTGTCATTGACGCGTCGAGTTTCAATGCTAACGTGGAGTCCTTAGGTCCGATGATTTTATAGCAACATTCGTCCTTGCGTCTTGGATGTTCACGGTTATTTTTGGTACTCGAGTTTCCTCTGTTTTTACATTGAGCAAATGACAGTTTTTACATCAGATGAAGTCCAGTACCTAAATTATGTAATTACGTCTACTTAATTCTGTTTAAAAAGGGAGAGCAAACTGACTGGAAAATGCATGCAACGTCTCTGCTGGACTGTAAATGTTTAAACCACGATCATTGGAAACTGAAAAACGGACACTTGATAGGCCACCCGAACGAGTGAGGGAGCAACATTCTAGGAAATGTCTCTATCATCTTCCACATACACACTTAGTCAAATTCTGGAACAAAAACGAACGAATATGAAATATACATTTTATCTGGACTCGGAGAAGGCATGTGACTCGTTGGAAATTGATGTACAGTGAGGGAAAAAAGTATTTGATACCCTGCTGATTTTGTACATTTGCCCACTGACAAAGAAATGATCAGTCTATAATTTTAATGGTAGGTTTATTTGAACAGTGAGAGACAGAATAACAACAACAAAATCCAGAAAAACGCATGTCAAAAATGTTATAAATTGATTTGCATTTTAATGAGGGAAATAAGTATTTGACCCCTCTGCAAAACATGACTTAGTACTTGGTGGCAAAACCCTTGTTGGCAATCACAGGTCAGACGTTTCTTGTAGTTGGCCACCAGGTTTGCACACATCTCAGGAGGGATTTTGTCCCACTCCTCTTTGCAGATTTTCTCCAAGTCATTAAGGTTTCGAGGCTGACGTTTGGCAACTCGAACCTTCAGCTCCCTCCACATATTTTCTATGGGATTAAGGTCTGGAGACTGGCTAGGCCACTCCAGGACCTTAATGTGCTTCTTCTTGAGCCACTCCTTTGTTGCCTTGGCCGTGTGTTTTGGGTCATTGTCATGCTGCAATACCCATCCACGACCCATTTTCAATGCCCTGGCTGAGGGAAGGAGGTTCTCACCCAAGATTTGACGGTACATGGCCCCGTCTATCGTCCCTTTGATGCGGTGAAGTTGTCCTGTCCCCTTAGCAGAAAAACACCCCCAAAGCATAATGTTTCCACCTCCATGTTTGACGGTGGGGATGGTGTTCTTGGGGTCATAGGCAGCAACGGCGAGTTGAGTTGATGCCAAAGAGCTCCATTTTGGTCTCATCTGACCACAACACTTTCACCCAGTTGTCCTCTGAATCATTCAGATGTTCATTGGAAAACTTCAGACGGGCACGTATATGTGCTTTCTTGAGCAGGGGGACCTTGTGGGTGCTGCAGGATTTCAGTCCTTCACGGCGTAGTGTGTTATCAATTGTTTTCTTGGTGACTATGGTCCCAGCTGTCTTGAGATCATTGACAAGATCCTCCTGTGTAGTTCTGGGCTGATTCCTCACTGTTCTCATGATCTTTGCAACTCCATGAGGTGAGATCTTGCATGGAGCCCCAGGCCGAGGGAGATTGACAGTTCTTTTGTGTTTCTTCCATTTGCGAATAATCGCACCAACTGTTGTCACCTTCTCACCAAGCTGCTTGGCAATGGTCTTGTAGCCCATTCCAGCCTTTTGTAGGTCTATAATATTGTCCCTGACATCCTTGGAGAGCTCTTTGGTCTTGGCCATGGTGGAGAGTTTGGAATCTGATTGATTGCTTCTGTGGACAGGTGTCTTTTGTACAGGTAACAAGCTGAGATTAGGAGCACTCCCTTTAAGAGTGTGCTCCTAATCTCAGCTCGTTACCTGTATAAAAGACACTTGGGAGCCAGAAATCTTTCTAATTGAGAGGGGGTCAAATACTTATTTCCCTCATTAAAATGCAGATCAATTTATAACATTTTCGACATGCGTTTTAAAAATTGTTATTCTGTCTCTCACTGTTCAAATAAACCTACCATTAAAATTATAGACCGATCATTTCTTTGTCAGTGGGAAAATGTACAAAATCAGCAGGGGATCAAATACTTTTTTCCCTCACTGTAGTAATCCAGGCTCGCACAAACCAAGGCCTATATAAACTCACGATTAGTCCGTTACAAGGTTGGAGCAACTACACGAGGACGGGACTGGATTAAAACCACGACTTTTTTCAGAAGTAGTTATATTGTGGCGAGTGATTGTGAATGTATGTACACCTGTGATTAGTTTGCAAATAATTTATGTACGTGTGATGTATTTTCACTTGTGGAGGAGGTTAGTGAAGGATCCTGCTGGGGAGTCGGAGGCAGTCGCTCTCCAGCAACAGCGGAGGGCAGAGGAGCAAGGCTCACAACAACGAGAGGAGTGCCGGGAGGCTAAAACTCAATGTTGGCACAGTGGGGAGCACGGTTGGTGCATCTACCAGCCATTTCAGTCAGCTGTGGCACCTGGGTTTGGTCCGTGACCTTCTGCCAGCGAGCCTTTGACACTTCACGTGGCCTCAAAGTGCACATAACATTGCACAAGCGCCAGTGGTGATGTCACCACCACTTAGTGGTGAATGACGGTTGTTGTTCACTTGTAAAATGTACATTTGTGATGTAGAATGTGGTGTAGCACACGTGTGATGTGCGTGTAATTTAGTGTGTGGTGTAGAACACCCATGTAATGTGGTGCATTTGAACGCTGTGCCCACACCGACAGATGGATCCAGCCCTATTGCGCGAGCGTGAGCGGTTCAAGCAGCGTGCCTTGGCCCAACCGGTGGTAGAGAAGCGGCCGGCACCCTCCTCAAGCTCCTCCTCCTCCAAGAAGAAGAAATCACGCCCTGACCATGGGGGCTCCAGCGGGTCCAAATCTGGAGGTCAGTGGTTGACCTCCGTGTGGGCCCTTTCTGCCAGCGGCCCTTCCATTAAGTTGCCGTTGTAGTGTGGTGAATTCCACATTCCTTTTTTTTTGCTGAATTATAATCCAATCTTCTTTCGTATGGCTGCAGATGTAGAGCAACAATTACAATTTCACATTCAGGTGGTCAAGCCAGATAACCGTGTCAGGAGCAGCGGTGTGTATCGCCGTGATGTCTCCTTTGCATTTGTGGATCGGGCATTGCGTTGTTATATGTACTACGGTCTGTTCTGGATGTTGGCAGTCACATACTGGACAGTTTTTAATTTTCCATTTGTCCATCAGGTATCTGCATCTGCCATGGTTTTGTGCTAATGCGGTTTAGAGTGAACCATATATTCCAATCGTGTCTATGATCAAATCATGAGAATCATTTATTGTAGATTATGCATCTTCTTTGGTTATTTCGGTAAAGTCACGTAGAATGAGAATAAAATAATAAATTGATAAAATAAAATAACACAATAATATTATTGTGTGAGAATAAAATAATAAATTGATAAAATAAAATAACACAATAATATTAGTGTTATTTTATTTTATCAATTTATTTTATTCTCATTCTACGTGACTTTACCGAAAGAACCAAAGAAGATGCATAATCATAATAAAATAATAAATTGATAAAATAACACAATAATATTATTGTGTTATTTAATTTTATCAATTTATTATTTTATTCTCATTCTACGTGACTTTACCGAAAGAACCAAAGAAGATGAATGCTTGCAGTCACGAAAGCTTTAAATCTAAATGTAGATTATGCAATTTTTTTAGTTTTTAAACTTCATGATGTGCTAGTTTTATGGTGCTTAATGAACTGACAATGGCACGGGAAGATGGGCAATGTGATGAAGACAGAACAGGACCGAGAAAATGGCACAAAAACACGATCTGAAGTGGGTATAAAACTTGCGGAGACTTCTCTCTTCTGGAGGCAGCACGTTTATTATATCGTAACAATAACACAAAGGGGTACGGGCCCTTCCACCCGATACTTAGGGAGATATTCCTCCGGCTAGCCTACCTAACATCGGCTATGCTATAGCCTCTTCACTGGTTAAGCTTTTGGTCCGACCCTCGCCAGGGGGCGGGTTCAGCCCTTTGGGCTCTTCGCTTCGGGTCTTCAAGGTTGCAGCTCCAGGGTGGCTCTTGAGTCTTCAGGTGAACGACGACTGCCGGACCCGTTCAGGGGACCGTCTCTTATACCGGATTCTGGCTCACTCCGCCCCTAGCCACTCCTCCCTTCTGGAACCGTCTGGAAGGGCCTGCGGAGTGACATTATCCCCCAGCCCCCTTCCTGGGGGTGTGCACCTGTGGTCCCGAGCTGCCTTCGGGTTACCTTAGCGGCTTAGCCCAACGGCCTGACTCATCACCCTTAGACTCCCTTCTGCTCCCTGTTGACTTGAGGCCGTTATTACAGGCTACAAGTTGTGGAAATCTCGTACAGCGCTCAACGATGCCGCTACAGACGCATAGCAGAAACAGGAGATGCATGCTGAGGCTATGCTCACCTCGCAATCTGGACGACGTTAGGAGGAGAGAACAGGGAATAATGCAGGACAAGATCCAGTGATTATTTTTTCTCTGTCTAATTTTATGATGTGCATTGGTGGGACAGTTTAAACATTTAAAACAACTAAAACACACTCTCGTTGGCAATAATGGGAAAAGAACGATTCAATAATCAAGGCCACCAAGTCATTCCAACCCGAGTAATAACCCCTGAGCCACCTGGACACTTTCTGGCAGACTCCTAATAAAGTAACTTGCATGCTTGCCTTTGTTTTGCAGAAACAGGAAATGGAATCAACTATAAGAACCTTCCGGGAAGCTCTGGGTACAAGTTTGGAGTGTTGGCTAAAATTGTCAATCACATGAAGGTAAGGGTTTTTCTACGTTAGTAGTTTGTGTACCTAGCAGATTGTATTCAGAAGGGGGTGTGCACAAGGTACAATCAGCTCTTAACTTAGCAGCCACACAGAACTTCCCAGGGGCCACAACTGTACGCGCTTGACTCCATGGAGATGTAACAATGCTGTCCTCGTTTCGTGCGCTTTCTTGTGAAGACGCGGCACCAAAAGGGAGACACACACCCCCTCGCGCTCGACGAGATTCTGGATGAGACAAAGCAGCTGGACATTGGCATCAAGCAGAAGCAGTGGCTGACCACTGAGGTGAGTTTGTTTTGCACCTTTCGAAGTGCAGTGCATTGTGGGTTAATAGAACTGGAAAGTTTGTGCTGATGCTGGGTTGTGTGGGGATGCATTTGAGTGCGTGGGTGGCATTGTTGGGAGCGGTAGTGTAGCGGTTAGCACGCTGCACTCTAAACCTGGCGCCCCGAGTTCGATTCCCGTTCACGGCCGACACCATTGACAATGATCTGAATCGGTCCTGGGCCGTGCTTAGGTCGACTCAGTCTCAAACGAGTACCTGGTGCGATGTGTAAACATCGCCACTGGGCAGACAAAGGCGGCCAGGCATCGTGCTGGGTACCCCACCCCCTCGTGTGCTGTACCGGCCTTCATAGGTGCTCGCTTCACAGCACTTGCCCCTACAGTCTGTTAAGGCTACACGGGAGATCTTTGTCTTTTGGCATTGTCCACACCAGCACGCTTGGGCTGGATTGCCACTCGCATGTTGTACCTGAACCAGGTCTTAAATGCTGGCTCAGCAGTCGGTACGCTGAGTTGGCGCCTCTGAGATCAGTTTTCAATCCAGGCAGCTGCCGATAATCAGATTTTCAAATGTATTGAGTTGATCATGGGGTGTGATGATGATGGTGTTGTTGGAGCGTAAGTCAAAGTGATGACGACTTTTTGTTTTCTAAACTCACGACTTTTTTTTGCCCTTTACCTTTGCTCTTACTTCTTCCACTCACGTGATACTTAGCACCATGATGGAGATTTAAAAAGCCCCACCACAAATAAGGCAAAAATAGCACAGAAGGCAATGGGCGCTGGAGCAGTAAAAACCTCAGGTTGTGGATGGCGGCACAACTGATACACAATGCCCCATAATGCGATGTCGCCAAATAGCAAATAGGTGAAGGAAACATGCACAAAACTTCAACTGGTATTAAAATAAAAAATCGCGGATAATCGTGAATGAAGATGTTTTTAGTAGTGCTGTGTGATAGTTTTGAGATTTGAAGTTTGTGTGCAGCTCTGTTGTAAACCAGACGTTACTAACTTGCTGTACAACATTTTAATAATGCAATAGTCGCATGCATAGGTTCAATTTTTTATTTATGCAAATTATATGCAGACATTACCTTTAGGCTAGTGGAATGAGCAAGACATTACAAAAATGATTGCTTTTTAATAGTGGCACCTAATGAGTACAGGAGGTTGGGAGGGATTAATTGTTACATGCCTTGTGCAGATAGGAGTGCTGACATTTTAGCATCTGAATCATGTGGTTTTTACTAATATTGGATGAGTGTGGTTAGTTTTTAATTTTTGACCTATGAGTATTCCCATTTTATAATTTGATTAGGAACATTTTAATTCTACCCAGAATGAAGAATATAAATCCATGTCTTTCAAGGCACAGCAATAATTGTTAAAATTCGGCATTTCCTCAGTTTCCTTTAGGAAAATGTAATATATTATCACAGCCAGACATTTGAATTGATTACGATGTCTTTGATTTAAGTCACACCTGACACATTGGCATACATGGTGAATTGTCCATGGGAAAAGTACACAGATAGGCCACAACAGAAAAAATAAGTAGGCTCTTGAAGAAAGGTTAGAGATGAATGCCAGTGATAACTTGAATTATGTCATGTCTGGTTCCTGCTGCTAAATTTGATCGCGAGCGCACGGACAGGCGTCGTGGCGGTAGAGCATTGAGGCGTAATGTTTCCTTCGTCCTTCCAGGCCTTGCTCAACAACCCCAAGATCGACGTGGTCGATGGGAAATACGCCTTCAAGCCCAAATACAATCTGAAGGACAAGAAAGCGCTGCTGCGGCTGTTGGACAGACACGACCAGCAGGGCCTGGGTGGAATCCTGCAGGATGACGTCGAGGAAGGACTTCCGAATGCTGCCAAGGCTATGAAGGTACGCGGTGGCGAGTACCGGCAGCGACAACCTCGCCAACTGTTAGCGTCGGCGGCTTCCGCCTTGATCGGCATCGCCACCGACACTTCAGCTACGGGGCGGTGCCAACACAACCATTCGCATGGTTCCAGCAGTACCAAATTCACCAGCAACGGCCATCACAGAGGCACTATCACTGCCGCAAGCAGTCTCGCCACCAACTTCATCACCAGCAAGACTAACTTGACCAGTAACCAATTCCTGTACGGTTGTTTTGATAACTGTTGGAGTTGCATGGTTCATTGCAAGATTATTGTAAAATACTGTTGACCTTTGAACCATGCAGGCTGTGTGTTTCTGTAGGTTATCGGTGATCAGATCCTCTTTATTACTAGACCAGACAAGAAGAAGATCCTATTTTACAATGACAAGAGCTGCAACTTTTCTGTGGATGAAGGTATGCAAATCCTCGCCATTGTATTTCACCTGCCTGTATTAAGCGCATGTCGGCTTCTGTATGAAATGGGAGCGCCCAAGTGGAGTATCTGACTGGCCTGCTGACAGGCACCCTTACCACGTAGCCGGTTGATACCCCCGCATCAACGCCGCATGGCATTTTCGGGAGTGAATTAAGGACATGAACTCTGCTAAACATTGGGATTTACAACCCCCCGTTATCTTTTACGAGCCCATTTTATCTAGATAACAGTATTTTAAAGTTATCATCACGCTTAATTGTAACAGATAATGTTCCCACATGGCTGTGGTGTATGCTCATTTACGTGATCGAGTTCAACATTCCAATTGCACTCGACTCTTGGTCTCTTTATATAATTATTTTGATCCCAATCAAATGGTGAATGCTTATTTCAACTTTGTACATTACATCGGTTTTCCTCTTAGGGTTATCATGAGGTCATGCTTCACTGGTAACGTGAGTTGTGGTGTTGCAGAGTTTCAAAAGTTATGGCGAAGTGTTCCCGTGGACTCGATTGATGAAGAGAAGATTGAAGAGTACTTGAAACGGCAAGGCATCTCATCGATGCAGGACACTGGCCCCCGGAGACTGGTAAGGACATAAACACAGCACCCCTTCCCTTTCTGGACATAACGTCGTGCTTATAAAGTGACCGTATAAAGTCTACGATTCTGAATTAAGAGTGATTTCCCCAAACGCGTGTGCTATGTTTACGTAACATTCTAGGCTCCTATGCGGAATCGGAGGGCCAACGCACAGCGCAAGAAGAAGTTCAAGACTCACAATGACCACTTGGCTGGAGTGCTGAAGGACTACACAAGCTTGTCTGCGAAAGAAGTGGGGGGGAAGTAGCCTCCTTCATGCGTTGGGGTCAAGTTGACAGAACATTTCGTTTCGTGTAAATTGTCAGTACCTGAAAGCGCGCCGCACGGTAATCTCCCACGCTCATCATTTGCCGTGCACTTCGAATACCCGTGCACCGTAGCGCCGAAACAGAAGTCGAAAGCTGCGGGCCGTGGCCATGCGAACCAAGCCATGACAATGTTCATGTGCACACTGCCCCGAGAAATGGGGAAGGCCGGTGAAGGTTGCTCACCAGCAGGTATCGGCACCAAAACAAAATTGTTGCTTTTCACAAAGAAACAAAAACCCCATTAAACTTTTCGCTTAGCAACTGGTTTTCAACATTATTTTCATGACACTGTTTGATGGCAGATTTCAGAATTTTTTAATGTAAAAATTATACATTCTGAACAATGGTGGTAAAGATTGTGAATCTGTTTGGCATTTCTAACAATATCTGCCTCCGGGCTGTCTTTTTTTTATATAATTTTACAAAGAAGTTAAAATGTTGATCATCTATTCAAGGCTTGTTCGAAGATGCAATGTAACATTTAATCAACAATCCACAATGGCCAGATAATTAAAGTTTGTATATTTTAAATTAAAAGGTTATATGGATTTTTATGCTTTGTGAAGTGCATTTTCTTAGTCGATATAAAATGTAACTTTTTTGTTACACATGTACATAGTTTGGTTTTCCAAAATGCATTTAAAATGTAATCATTTTGTAGGCAATATAAACGTTAATTGCTTTTCTGCGTCGATGCTATTTAATTCTTCAGCCCCTGGTTAGAGGAAGCATCCGTATTATTGATTCATAATTTAGTGTCACAAACTAAATGCTATTGTCTTCGATTGCGTGGGGATCACAATGCACTTTTTCCTGTACAACGTGAAGTTATCCCAGCCCTTGCCACCCCACACCATCACTGATGGAAATGCCACATTGCTACATCGTGTGGGGACCATCTCAAGTGGCAATTACTGTTGATACGCCGTAGCGCGATACTCATTCAAGCAATTCTAGAGGGATGATGGATTGAGAACCCCCAATCTGGATGTGAACTTGTTACTTTAAACTTGAGTCGAGTCCTCTTGACGAGGGTGTCATCTTGGTTGGGTTTGCCGTGATGCTCTGCGGGGAGTATTGGTGGTCAATGGAGGGCGCTGTGAGATCACAAGCAGACGGGACGTGGCCATGAGTGCAACGCATAATACCCAGAACTATTCGGCCAACAAGTCGGACTCACACGGCGATTCTTAATCTGAAGCAAGTATCCAACCAGCCACGAGTTCTATCCTGCTCTTAGACCCGAACTCATGTCGGCAGCCAGCACACAGTACTCGCGTGTCTCGTCACCCGAGCACTTTGCACGCGTCAGCAGTGATGGTACAGTATTCGACAGGGTCCCTGGGTGTGCGGTGTAAGAATGTGCCACGTTTGTGATTGAGGTGTACGCATCGATCGTGGCATCCGTGCGCGCGATGTAATGCGAGCTCGTCTCTTCTACAGTGGCGAATGGTAATCACCAGGCACGGCACTTGTCACCTCTGAAGAATGTCTCTCTGGAGGCCCCAGGAGGATGAGACTATTAATGTTCATGTTCAAACACCGTGTTTTATTAACGCTTGTAACTTCCAACCCGCTCATCTTATCTCGCTCTCCTTCACGTGTCCTCCAATCCTCAAGCCAATGTTTATCTCAACACTATCCCAGTCGACTGTGCAAAGCGTTATCTGCTGCCATGTCTGCCAACTGTTGAGGTCCAGGCTTAACGGTTCATTTTCCAGTATTTGGATTCTGTCGTGGGTTCTGTCCTCTCGTCGTACCCACACATGCCTTGCTGGTGAACACGGCAGCGTTCACTTCCCGTTCTCTCCATATTCCTTCTGCCGTCTCTCACCCTCCCCTTGCCACCATGGTTCCGTCTAAAGTCTTGAGATGGACATCACACATTTGAACGCTTTATGAATGTTATATACACATGGAATATTGTTACATCTTCATACGATTTAAAAGTTAGTAAAAATGTAAACTCAAAACTTCCCGTGGCCAATCATATTTTATGTACATTGTTTTGGAAACCGATGTAAGCAAAAGCACGGTTTGTTTTAAAATTGTGTACGTTGTGGGTATTGAAATCTTACGAAGATTTTTTTTTTTTAACAATGGGGTCAAACAGGTGGCGGTGAGCAAACCCTGCAGGGCCCTGGACACCCACGGAGCGCGCTAAAAGCATTCCGGGCATCGGCGGGCAAAGTGGCGGAGCTCGACGGGCAGAGAGCGCGACAGCAGCATCCAGCCCCGCGCACACAAATAGAATTTCGCCATTCAGTTACCACAACAGCAGCAGCAGCATCATCATCGGCTGCACTCACCGAATGCGACATCGACAAGCAGCCGTTTTTGGCCAGGGTGTCGGGGGGCGGTCTTGGCGGCGATATTGGGGTTGTTGTTCTAATGTCCACACGAGGGTTGCTTTGGAGGGCATGCCACGGTTGGAGGAGTGCCATGTCAAGCATGTAGAAAAACACGTGTACATGCGTACACAAAGCTCGCCTACTCCCCTCCAGCGTGGCCCTCATCGTTTCAGCGCTGCCATCACGCGGTATTAGCAGCAATCGGCTGTGACTACTGATCGTGATTAACTGCACAGTCAATGATAGCCCCCCCCCCCCCGTGCCCTGGCTGCTGTCCCCCGTCAGGCACGAGAGGTATTGTCTGTGGGTTTGGTCTCTCGCTGACAAGGTGACGGAGGACCCCCATGTGATATTCAAGTGACAAAACACATCTTAAATGCAGATGGAATACCCCTAATAACGTTGTGCGCCATGCTGTGATTGGACACGAGCAGAATTTTGCGCCACTTATAAGCACACTGGACCAACATAAAAGCACATGTGCCCCCTGTGGAATGCATCTATTGCCCTTAAGCTGTTTTGGAATGGTGTTAAACCCCCTAAATATCAACTCCACATTGCCTGCAGGGTCTGACTCAGAGGTAATCTTCCTTTCTGCCACGACCAGACAATCTTTGCGATATTGCAAGTGTAACAAATGGCTTGCAGGCCATTTGTAATAAGGACAGAACTGGAAACCACCTGGGATCGAATCAGCCACCGGAAACCACAAATCATCAGAAAATAGAGTTTAGGTTACGACCCAAGAAATGTCTGAAGTCATCACCAAAAAGAGGACGTTGATAAGGACCTAACCTGCCTTCGACCAAGTCACTCGGAACGGCCAATATTGGAAGTCAAGCAGGCACGTGCCTTGGGATGAAAAAGGTAACGTCGGACAGGTGTCTATTCAGGTCGTGTTTAATAAATAACACGCGCTTGAGTGGAGTGTCCGCGGCATTCTTCGCGATTGGAGAGTGTTGATGTGAACGCGAGAGAGAGCACGGCATTGCAGTGGGAAGGCGGTGGGGAGCCGAGGTGGCGCTTTCTGCTCTGGGTGCCCCAGGAGCGAAGACATTCGGCACCGTTGGGACACCTCCCCGTGGTTGTGAACAGAATTGTCCATTCATTAGGGAGGGAGTTTCCGCAGGGACTGGCACTGTGGACCGAGGGACTGCGACAAGGCCGTGACGGAGTGTGGCCTGGTTGGTAGCCCCCCTCCACTTTAGCAGACTCGATTATGACAGAGAAGGCCAGTGTGATTGTAAACACTGCACGCAAAACGGCCATCAGTCTGTGCAGAGGAACGCAGCAGCATTCTTGCGAGAGGACGACGCTGCACGTATTTTGTGCCACTCATATCGTAAACCAGGCGTCTTCCCTTCAAAAGAACTTGCTCAATTACAGAGGGCGGCGTGTTGATAATCGACGGCACCAAATAATATTCACCTCGCGTAGCGGCGCACAGCACGGGTGCGTTTTGTGCGGCATCGCCAATGGAGAGTGATCGTCCGTGCCTCTGTGGCACGGCACAAGACGGTGTGCCGTGCGCCAGGGACTTTTTATCTGAAGCCAGTGTCCGCTCTTCGCAGTCCCCGCTTGCTACATCGCGTCTATTCTTATCCGCGTTTCACTCGCCACCTTCGTGCGAACACAGGCAGGTGGTGGATCTCCGTACATTGGTGACCGACTGCCTTCTGCCCTTGCCACCCATGGCCACGTTGGCAGTGCTCAATGGATGCTGCACTGGTGGCAGGTTTAAAAAAAACCGTTACTGGTAAATTCATTTGTACCTCATTCAACAAAGCCCAACCTTCAAAACCCACACAGACATGCTGACTGGTGAAGCCTTTAGCTGCCCCTCACTGGGGGTGGATTGTGGATGGGGAGGGGGTTCCCACCTTCATCAGGCTGGGTGTGCGGGTGAGTGCCATAAAAGTGGATCCAGATGAAATGGAGCACAATAAAAACCGTCACCGATAACAATGTTAAGCAAATTAAAATGACATTAGACAGCGTCCCAGCTCTACACAAGGATACAACCCGTCGTGGACATTGTCCCCTTCGGTGCTTCACGATGCAGTGTGGCGATGATGATGATGAAGCCAGTGACGCATGGACCGCATCGCCACGTGCACAGTAGATCCACCCGGTCCCTGGTGGGTGTGACATCTGCAACAGGTCAACAGCGCTTGCCCGGGCAATGTTACACGATTATTCGTTCCGCGAACCACGGACCCGACAGGACTGCACCTGCAAGCAGAGCGCACCTCGGTCACGCAGCAAGAGGCCTCTGGATGATAGGCGATGGGGTGGAAGATGCCCCCGACCAGTTACCATTGTGGTGCAGCCACACAACCCATTCCCTAGACATCTGCCTCAAATATGCCGCAGATTATACAACAGCCGCCTTTTTAGGGCGCCAAAGCGAGGCTGGATGACGAAGCATTAAAACATCAAAAAAATGAATCGTCCCCGGGAGGCACCTCTGATGAGTACGGTTGTCAACGCACGGTGCAAACGACGGTCAATTTACATTTGCAATAGTTGAGCCACAACAAAACCCATTACCAAAGTCACGCCCCTCATTAAAGGACGCCCCGATGTGGGGACATCGTCACTGCAAAAACGCACGCATGAAGCCACAAGAGGCAGGAGTTGGCTGCTCACACTGCAACGAGGCTTTAGGAGCCAGCAGTCCCAGCTGGCAACGCGAATTCACGGAGCTAGTGGGAGACACCGAAGAATACGCTTGGATAAGAATTCCTCAATGCTCGCCATACAAAACAAACATTCATGCCCCCCTTTCCCAATATCTAATAATAACTTTGTAGGGAGGTGTACACAAAAACCCAATGATCACCCCCCCCCCGCCGACCCATATGATGGAGTGCTTACAAACACAGGTGTGCTTACACACCAGGCGTGTGTAATGGGATGTCGAGTTAACGGCTGTGATGGAACATCCTCGCCACAGCCTAACGATGCCTGCAATCTCATGGCACCAGTTCTCACCCACTCCATCACTCGCGAACGCCCAGAGTTCAAGTGTGTATATACACTCTGTACCAGTAATTTAGTCAGGGGTTGAGGCTCCCAGAGCCAAAAAAAACAAATAAGTTACATTGCACAGGAACTGCACACTGTAAACATTAGAGGTTTTAATGCAAAGTATGGCATGTTTGCACTCTTGAAAACATTGCCGTGTGCGGCGAGGCGGCGCTCATTTGAGACATTCGCCTGCACATCGTGCACTGCCCGACCGGCAATCCGCGGGAGCCGTGGCGAGGCGCACGCCTCCATCCCAAACCTCTCTTGCCTTGCGAACGCACGCAAATTAATTGCACAAACGACAATGTGCAGCGGTATGCAGGAAAACACTTTATTTTCAAAACATTTCCAAGAACTTCAAACCCATCGCCGCACACGCCCGTTAGAGTTTTTTTAATTGACAAGAGCAGGATAGGCCAGGGTTAAGTCCTTCTGCCTTACAGGAAAACTAAAGCTGTCGTCCATAACGGTGGTTACACACCACAGGTTCTGCAGGTGGTAGCTCAAGATGCCAAAATTATACAAAACATTTCAACCGTTTCTCTCGGATAAATAACATAAATACTTTATTCCTTTATGCAGTCGTGTTTATAGAAACGGAGGACTCAAAATGACCACAAACCAACCGCTCACCTGCCTCCCCCCATCCACCTTTAAAGAGAAATTCGCGACCAATGGAAATTAAAGAGCGGCTTGGAGACGACTGACCGTGTAAGTTGGTCGCACGGAACAAGCACAACCCACGCGTCTCCTTTCCACCACTCAAAAATACAATGTCCTGATGCAGTCAGTTCAAGCTATACTTTGTGTCATCAAGATAAACCCACGTTTTATTTTTAAACCCATTTTATTTTTTTCAAATAGCAAGACTAAAATAAAGTCATGGGGGAACACCCATCCATAATCCAGCGATGCATTCAAGGACTGGAGATTTAGAACATATTTAAGGCATTTTCATTAACTGGAAAAGAAAAAAAATCGGATTGCGTCATCTGCAATTTAGGAGGAATACAAATCTCCACCCCAAACTGGACAAACACATCGGCTCGGGCTTCCAGCGCTCACCCAGGGGGGGGAGGGGGGGGTCAGACTTCACCAACGATGCCAATTCAAAACATCTTCGGGGGTACCCAACTGTTGAGGGATGGCACATGTTAATTCTCGTTAAGCAAACCTCACACCCACACATCAGTCCTTAGAGAATCAGCTGTGCCACAGCAGATGCAGTCTGCTCTTACAGACAACTCAAACTAGAAACAAGTACTAAAAACACGTTCAACGCGAGCAGGCAGGGCTATCCGCGGGATATGCCGTATTACCTCCTAGAGTACGCGATCTGCTTGTAAACAAGCCGTGCGTGGCACATTAGAGTCGCCCCACAACAACAAGGCAACGACGAGGACAATTTGGTAGCGCTTACGGACCACGCTGCACAGGGCCACCGAGGAGAAAGGACCGGATCCACGAGCCACCACGACCGGAGTGCCGAGCGAACGCTCCGGCACTCGCCACGTTTCGTGCGTCTGCCCCCCTTGTCCCTCGCCAGCGCCGAGGAGCGCTTCGCTGCTCCCCCACAGAGTGGCTCATCCTAGGAGGGGGATATCCAGTGCATCTAGCAGGCACACACACACCAACACCGGTATACGGTGTTGCAGCAGTTCCACCATTAGGTTATCGCCATTTCACATGCTTAGGACAAAGTGTGCGCATGGTCACCAACAATGGGACAGCCCTTTGTCAGTCCACTGTTGAGGGCCTCACCCTGTATGGGTCAATGGGGGGGGGGGTTATGTGACCACACTTCACTGGTCATTGCTAGTTGGTAAAACGCACCTTTGAAGTGCCCGAGGAATGAAGACGTGCTACAGACTTGGCAGAGACGAGTGTGGTCAAGAACAAGACAATGGGCGAAAACTCCAATTCCAAAATGCCGAGCCTCGGATTTCTACGACCGGGACGCACACAGCGCGGTGTGGAAACGCCAAGTGGAGTGCTTTAGTTCGGCGTATCCGGTGAAACGGGTTCATCGCCACCGCGTACGTACGAATCTCGCGCCGTACCTGTGACGGCAGCGCAGAGGCGGGGTAGGCGAGGGACGGGCAGGGTAGCAGGGGCCCCAGGTCGAACAGCGGGTAGGGGGCGGCCCACGTGTCAGCGGGGGAGAGCATCGGGGCGCCCGACAGGTCAACTGCGCAGACCGCACACGCGCGCAGCTCGGCACGCTGGGGCGGCAAACTCCACCGGCTCCCAATAATGCACTCTTCGCAGCGGCCTCAATTCATACGAATGTAGAACCTCTTGCACACCGTGCGTAGCCAACCGTGTGAAGTGAAATGACGCCGCAGGATCTTTAACGGCCACTCCTAAGCAGCCGGTGCACAGCAAGTTTCTGGTTTTGTACACCGGCAGCATTAGCCGGGGGGCGCCACCGATCTCTGACCGCGGTGAACGCACTACCGCCGGGCCGCGTCACCGCCCATGCGTTTCACGATAAATGTAAAAAAATTACTCAAAATGAGGGCCGAGTTTTGCCAGTGAGGAGGGCGAGGAGGGGAGAGATGCAGCAGCTGCGCCCCCCCCCCCCACCGTGCCCGGCACTCACACGGGTCCCGCAGCACCAGGTGGGCTCCCAGCGCCGGGTGCGGCATTGGGTTGGGCGTCGCCAGCAGTCGGTTCCTCGACGTCTTGGTATTGGCGCGAGCGAACTCCAGGCGTAGGGTCTGAGGGCTCTCGGGGTCGAACCTCACGCCCTGTACACACACGGCGGTGGCGGCGGTGGGGTCAGTCGCTGCCGTCGCCACCCCTCGACCGCAAGCGCAGCCCTCGTGACGGACTCGCACCCAGCACCCCCCCCCCCCACGACACGCGCAGTTAGTGGGGTTATTCGACCGTACTTCACCACGCTGGTCAGAGCGGGTCGGTGAAAGCAGAGAGCACAAACGTGTACGCATAGAGGTCGAGTACAACAATGTATTTGTTTTGCTGTACTGCCCACCACGTGGCTCGGGCCGCGGGCAGCCTGCTGACCGTGTGCAGTGGCCACCGATGAAAACAGAAACCAGAATCAACCCCCCCCCCCTTGCTTGGGGTTCGAGAGCGTCAGGATCGAGCGCATTGCCTGCACATCATCATTTAGAGAGACTGGTGTGGCTACATCAAGGCACGGGACACGAGGGCACTCATGGAGAGTGTTCATGGGTAGGAGGAGGGCTACCAGGACAGAGGGAGACAGCATTTCAGTCGCAGGCAGGAGGGGAAGAAGATCTCGTGCCCAGTCTCGCAACATGCATTATGAAAAACACTGCCAGATCACAGCAACTATTCGTGAGGATATTCTTCATTAATACCTTCCTATACCCCCCCCCCCCAGCAGTGTCTTGTCAAAATTGTTAATATTTCCACACGTGATCTATAAACAAGACAGCAAACGGCCATACGAAGATGCCAGCTCAGAGCTGTGGATGGGGCAGCAGTTCGTTTTTTCCCCAGACTGTGCACCGGCCTCATAGTGCAACACATGCGCAATCGGCCATCATTGTTCACGGGCCTTGCACCGTCAAGTTGCAGGGAAACCGTCGCCACCCAAGAGCGTCAGGATAAAGGACAATCCCCATTATTATTCAACATTCGGTACCAGAAAAATAAAAAGTTAGAGGATAAACACCACTCTGGGGAGGCACCGATTGAGATCTTGTTCACGAAAATGTCAAACTTTATGGTCTGCCTCCGATATGCTCCAATAAGCCCCCCCCCCACCCCCCAGCTGCTCCTAAAAAAAAAAATCTCCCCCATGAGATGAAGTCCTCGTGCCTTTCCACTTGTAGGAGTACGAGACCTCATCCACCCCTCGTGCAACAGAAGCCGCTCCCAGCAAACGTTCCTCCCGCACGCGATACCGCATCACCCACATCACTCCTTGTGTAGAGCCATTTTGCCACGAGATTCTGCACTTTCTTCCCACATAACCCCTTTCCCTGTCGAGACCATGTACGGAGCAAGAAGAGATCAGTCTGCTCAGACACTACACAACACTGCATCACAAGCCCACACAATTGACAAAACAAGCAAGACCAAGGCAGCGTGAATTTGCTATTAGACTGGAATAAAACCGAGCAATTGAATCTAGGCTCAAAGACAAGAGCAGATGGATTCCCTGGGCTCTGGCCCAGTCATTATGGGCGAAGTTAATAAAAAAAGGGTCCCAGAGAATGTGCGAAAAATGCCCCCCCCCCTGCCCCCTGTATATGTTCCAAGGTTGGCCGTGGACCAGCAAGAAATTTAATAATTTTTTTCCTCACGTCGAGCGACCAATGGACCCCTTTGGCCATGCACGTTCGGGGCGCCATGGTGACGTCAGAGTCGCGGCATTGCCCCCCACCCCGTGTGCGATAACGTTCTGTTCATCTGTCAAGCCAAACATTGACTTTAATAGCAACTGATGAATACATTTCATGATTTCTAGTGGAAGGCTCAGAAATGCCGCGAGCCAAAAAAACAAAACAAATTTAGATTCTTAGTGTCTAGGACATTTGAAGTGTGCCATTAAATTTAGCGTATAACCAAATGTGATGCTTAATATAGCAGCAAATGGCCACATAACCAATATCATCAAGCCTCACCCCCCTGCCCCCCGTAGCCTTACAGACTGTTGGGGCAAGTGCTGTTACAGAGCACCTATGAAGGTCGACATACAAGGTGGACAGCACGTGCCCGACCGCCTTTGTCTCCCCAGTGGCGATGTTTACACACCACACCAGGTACTCATTGGAAGTCAACTTGGGGGAGATCCACGACTGGTTCAGATAATGGTCACTGGTGCAGGCCGAGAGCGGAAATCGAACGCTGGGTTGCAGGGTTTGTAGCGCAGCAGCATGCCAACTGCGTCACCACCGCTCCCCAGACAAGACACAAGCGAACTGTGGATTGGTGCTCGATGGTAGATTGAGATTTCCTTCTGAAATCTCTTAAACATGAAGCAGACGCTGCTACGAAAGGGGGCAGCATCTACAGAGGAGGGAGGCATCGATCGGAGCGGTCGACTGTAGCAAAGGCACGAGGGACCGGCGCTGGAAGTAGATGTTGCGAATCTCGTGGTCCCTACACCGTCGGCTCGGCAGTGCACGAACCGCGGCTCATTCTTTCAAATCTCAAAAAACATGCCGCCATCCAAGCAGCCGGACGGTCAGAGTCGTCTGTGGGGGAAATATCGCTTGGGTCGGTTGGCACGCGGGGCTATAAAAAGAAGCCACTCGCAGACAAGTGTCGTCTCAAAAGAAAGGGCCACAGACTGCGATGTCGCTTACACTGTACACACAAAATAATTTTCCATTGGTTTTAAGCACATTGCTCGTGATACTCCTGGGTGTAGCAGAAGCAGATGTTTGCCATCAGTGATAAAGTGGCTCGCGTTGGACGGCACAGGCAATCCGCCAACGTGTCCGTCAGGAACCGAGCGAGATGGAGACCCAGCCACACTCAACGTCCTGCCATCTCTACAGCCAGAATAATCACGCGCGATGCCATCCTGGAGCATAATCACAGGAGGACCTTATTTGGTCCTAATTTTTGTATTCCTATTTTATATGTATTTATTCCACAGGTGCATTTTCAACATCCTACAAAGTTTACTCTGTAGTTTAAATTCAAGTTTGGTCTAATAACATGCTGGTCGTTAATGTGAACAAATTTGGACGAAATAAAAATGCCTTTTACCCATACCAAGGGTTACTATTAACATTTTTTAATCAACAAAATATTCGTGTTATTATAATAAAAAACTATTTGGAGAAGCATATTTTATGAACGTTTCATGTAATAATGCACATCTGACACGAGTCATTTGCTCAAGGACTCATAATTTCGAGTGAAGATGCTCGCATCACATTTAAGGGGCCAATGGTGATTTCAGAGGTCAGTGCTGGCAATACAATGCCCTTGCCTCTCATGGATTGGACAGAGGTCAGGCAGACGACACTCACATGTGGACAGGATGCGGATGAGAGAACACAGCTGCCTCTGCTAAGAACCTGGGTCTAAGGCCAGGTAACTACGTGGCCCTAAACTGGGGTTCAAGTTAGCGAGTTGAGGGCCTGCACCTGGTCACCAATGCACAACTAAATATTGCATTTGGCTAACTTCACTCCAATTCTCCAAAAATGTTGGTTAACCATACAATAAACATGTTACAGGGTTAAATTTCGATTTAAAGCTTTCGTGACTGCAATGATTCATCTTCTTTGGTTCTTTCGGTAAAGTCACGTAGAATGAGAATAAAATAATAAATTGATAAAATAAAACACAATAATATTCTCACGATGTTTCGGCCACAACACAAGCGGCCTTCATCAGGTGAAGGGACGAGACTGTCTGCTAGGACAATTTATCAATTTATTATTTTATTCTCATTCTACGTGACTTTACTGAAAGAACCAAAGAAGATGTTACAGGGTATAACTAAGGGTGTGCCTCTGGTATGAAATAGGTCTAGAGACAAGTCGAGGTTACTATATATAGTTCCCACTTTAGCGCTCAGGCCTCTGCTGTGCAAAATGCCACAATTCGTTATATCAGCAGCGAGCGGAGAACGGAAATTCCCATTACAACGTGCACACGTACGATGAAAGAACTTACATTCAGAGAGACTTTGGCATCTTCTGCTTGTGCTCTGCTGTAAAAGGTTACAAATCCCACGGGCTGGAAGACATTTCAAAAGAGTAAACATGAAAAGATCTTACTTCACACCACGTTAGTTTTTGAAGTTGCCAAGTCACTTAGTCACTGGAGACTTAGCAGCGCAAGCCAAGCATGTACAGCACCTTGTCAGCAGTGCAACTGAAGCTGTAGATTAAGCAGTAGTAATTGGAGTTTGTTAATCCGCCGATGGCCATGCAGTTTATGAACACAATTACTGTACAGAGCCAGAGAACATGGCCAATATTCGTAACATAGACCAACATTGGCCACTTCACACAGAAACGTCGGTTCGGATTTAACCGCTTCAGGGCTGACCTATGCCAGAACCCGTGTTTGATAAACGAGAGAACGAGGGAACGGCTCAATTCCCGCTTACCTGCTTCGAGGTCACCAAGATCAGAGAGCCCTCGTATCCCTGCAGGACAACATGAAGCCGAATCATTCAAACGGAGAAGACCCAGCCGTGCTTAGAGTTTCACCGATGGCAAACCAGCACCCCCCCCCCCTCCCATCGGCACCAGTCACAGCCATCCACCAAAACCACTGCACAGCACTGTGCATGCGCCATACTTGGGTACATTGAACATACATGCACACGCAGTGTACGTAGAACAAGCCTTCAATCACGGCGTGAACATTTGCAATTAATTCCAAATCCACAAAACACCCGAAAGGCTGCGTCGCTGATGGGGTTCTCAACACTTTGAGGGACAGCGCCATTGCCGTCTGCTCATTTATGGTTACATAGTGAACGTGGAACTTCTTTCACAGCGTACGTAGCCCACCATGCTAATTGGAGGTGCGGAGCAGGGAAGGACAAGTAGACACAAAAAGCAGTTTTAAAGAAAAGAGTTTTCAATTGGCCCCAGAACAACGCGACCGATTAGAATCGTTTACAGTGCGACAGCACCATGCTGACAAGTCTCGCTGGTACTCTAATCAAACTATATAAAATCAATATTTAGCCGTGCCTATTGCGAGGGCTGATGAACAAGCGCGCACATGGGAGTCGATACACGGTCCATTTGAATACTCAACCCCGATCCGATTGGCCAATTTGGACCTTCCATGCACGGTATTGAGACCACAGCCGTGAACACAACGGGACGCCTCAGGGAGAGCACGAAAGTGCGTGGGTGGAGGGGCGGGCGAGATGTTAACTCCCTCGCCTGGTATGCACGACGTTGTACATTCGATCCCGACCCCTTCTGTATAATTGGAGTTTGCGTGTCCCTCCCCGGATTTCCCCCTCCACAATTAGAATCAACACCACCACGCGGCGTCTGGCTGCCATAAAGTTCCACAATGCACTTCGTAGAGCTGTCATTTGTGGCGAGGCCGCTTCTGGAATGGAGTTGTATAGCTCAGTGGGCCTTAACGGGCAAAAAAATCTGGTTCTCACGTAGTTTGTTGATGTTTATCCGCAAAGACTGTCAGAGTTGGACACATTTATAATTATACAAAACAATAATCCATAGCATTGTTGTGAACACCAGAAATGTTAAAATAACGCAGCTTCTCTACTGCACGTTGGTTCCTCCATCCTAAAATGGGTTCCTCATCGAGTCCTCCTCACCTTGAAGGGTCTGAAGAGCAAGTAGAGCTCACGGGGTTTGATGTCCACGGGCAGCCCACTCACAAACAGGGTCCGCACCTGTCCACCACACAAACCCAGCCACAGCCAATTCCTCCAGAGCCTCACAACCCAACCACCGCACTGCTCCTCAAGCTGCGCTCTCAAAGGGGCCGTTCTACTACAACGAATGACGGAACGCAGAGCAGCCCCCGTCGCGAGGACACGATGGACGCAACGGAGCACCGTCGGCTGCAATAGGGGAAATGGGAGTCTCTGGGTAATCCCCTCTCAAGCCCAGTGCGAGCAGGGTGCAGTGCTCTGTCTACTGCTGGATGAACCGACGCCACTGCCAAAGGTCAAAAGGTGACGTCTTGCCCAAGCGGCGAGCACAGAGAGCCAGTGGTGGCGATTTCACATTCACTTTACGGGGCGAAGCTATTAATCGGTCAGCCAATGTCGTCTTCTCCACGAAGTGGTACCCCCACCCCCCCCCCCCGTTTAGTGACCACGGAGGGGGGGGGGCGGCATGAGTGGCCGAGCCAAACGCCCCAACCAGGAGTTGAAGTCACCAACCTTCGGATTGAGAGCCGCTCGCTCTGCCACCGAACTAGGCGACGTGGAGGCGACATGTAGCCGACGAGACAAAGGCAACGCCACTTCGTGTAGCCCTCGACCGGTTGGGGAAGTGCCGCTAACGAGCACCTATCAAGGTCGGCACGGCACACGCGGGGTGGGTGGGCGGTGGCCGGCAACACGCCCGGCCGCATTTGTCTCCCTAGGTAGCGATGTTTGGCACGTGGCATTAAGTTACTCATGCGAGGCAGAGTCGATCTAGGAGAGGCCCATGACCGGTTCAGATAATTGTCACCCGATGGTTGGCCGTGAGCGGGAATCGAATTCGGGTGGCCGGGTTCGTCAGCGTAGCGCGCTAACCGCTGCGCCACCGCTCCCCACAATACCACAGAAGGGTTGACGCCTCCTAGGAGGATTGAGGGCGATTAGAATTGCAACGATGAGTGCGAGCCAACAGCTGGGAGGTCCGCGATGGGGTTTGATGCGAATGGGCAGAGCGCACGGAGGGGATGGAGTTTAAGCAGCGGAGACGGCGGCGGTCGAAATTAGCGGCAGCAGAGAATCCGTGCCACCCTGTCGGGACGTCTTCTTACCGCCACCCGTCATTCATCCCTAACATTCTCAGTTACGGCAAGTTGGCGAACCCACTTTGTGTACTGCCATCGCCTGGCCAAAAAAAAAATCACGGCCCAGGTAGACCAAAAAAAAAGCGTCCCAGAGACGGCGAGAGGGAGGGCACGAGGTCCCACCGAGCAAGACTCGGCGAGCCGCTCCTCTCTCGCGAGTCGCCGCTCACCTCCTCCTCGTGGTGAGCGCTCGTACCGAGGTCGCCCTCGTCCACCTCCAGGCGAGGAGAGCTCATCGCGGCCGCAGTCGAGCAGCTCTCGTCGTCTCGCAGCAGAGGCATTTCCCTCCTCTCCGTCCCCGCGAGCCCCGCGTCCCCACCACGCAGAAGAGTTCGGGGGTGGGGGGGGAGGATGGAACTCTCTCCTGCGTCTCCCTTCTCGCGTCCTCTTCACGTCGGCGTCGCTCGCAAACAGCGGAGCGCTGCTGCGGCCGATGTCTCTCGTTCCTTCTCCCTGCGGGCAGCGCCCCACGAGTTCGCCTCCTACGCCAGGGACCAATTCAACCGGGCGCTGGGATTGCTGGAGGCGCGGCACGGCGCTAATGAGGACTCCTCGCTCGCTCGCCTCCTCCCCCTTCCGCGTGCCCTTTTGTTCCGCAATCACCGTCAGCTGTGCGGCGATAACGAGGCGGTGACGTAGCCCCGCGCATCGCCTCCTCGCTGCTGGCACGAGGGCGCCCCCCAGTCCGTGACTACCTCGGAGAGGAGCAGTCGTGCCCCCCATTCCCCACCGCAGGTCCGTCAGTGGATGCGCAGCTCTCACGGGGAAGTGTGAGACACCACGGGGGAGACCCGGGGGGGGGGGGCACACAGGGCAGGGACAGTCGCCGAGAGACAACAGTCACGCAAAGGCAGGCGCAGCAGAACGAGACACCAAGACACGGAGACAGACGCGGAGACACAGGGCGACAATCGGAGACAGACGACGCATCGATTGATGTTGGCTGTGGCGGTGGGGGGGGGTGTAAAAGTGGGGAGCAGGGGGCTCTGTGCTCTTGCCCCCCTGCTTCGCTGCCCCCCCGCCCCAGTCCCCATTGTGTGGAGTGGTGACCCCCCCCGATGTGATTAGCGGAGACAATGGCCGCGTCTCCCTCCCCCCTCCACAGGTGCGGCGCGCGCGCGGGTAACGACCTCGCAGCCAATTAGCCACCCAGGGGGACCCTGATGAGCCCCGTGTCTGTACGTGGTGCTGGCTCACAGCACTTGCCCCAACAGTCTGGTAAGGGCTATAAGGGGGGTCTTTGTGTGTGTCTTTGTGGTGCTGGCTCACAGCACTTGCCCCAAGTCTGGTTAAGGCTATAAGGGGGATCTTTGTCTTTGTGTGTGTCTTTGTGGTGCTCGCTAACAGCACTTGCCCCAACAGTCTGGTAAGGGCTATAAGGGGGATCTTTGTCTTTTGTGTGCGAAGAACGAGCCACGTGTTGCCAATCAAGGAGACCACGTGATCGCTGCTATTCCCCTTGACGAGCCGCACGTGGCCCTCGCGTGCCCTGCCCCCCCGTGGGAGTGCGCGAGGGGGGGGGCGCCCCCGTGTGGACTCGCATAGGAACTCTGCTGGTGGTGTTACATCAACAACAGCAGCATCGCAGCGCGCATGTTTTGTCGAATTTGGCCCAGAGTTTGCTTAACATTAAAAAGCGGTTTACTTCTGAATCAAGCATCGAGGTGGAGGTCTATCTTGGTTACAGCCCTTCAGGGCCCGTGGTGGAAATTCCATATTCCTATTATGGGAGCCAGTCTCTGCATGGGATAACCGCTGGTAACGGCTCGCAATTGGAAGGTTGAGTTGAAATCGTGGTTGGGGGTTGACTCAGCCGATCATCATCATCCCTCCGGGGGTTGAATAAAACAAGTACCACTTTGTTGGGAATTCAACAGCGGTTGTCCTATGGATGGACTCGCCCCCGCCATAAGTATGAGGAATTTCCACCGGCGCCTCTGTAGGGCTGTAGGCATGACATGACAGACATCGCTTTTAATGAACACGTGGTCTATTCAAGAGCTCTGATGCGTTGAGGGAAACTCGCGAGAAGCACCAACACCAACATGTTTCGTTTCAAATCCGTGCGATTCGTTCGCCACGTTGCTTCACCGGTCAAGATCTGATCGTGGTTTTCTCACCCCTGGACGCTTTGACGTCCAGGGATGAGACCACCTAGTTCCTGCCAACCCATGCGCCAGTTTCCTAGCGTTGATTGCCCAGGAGGTCTCCACAATGCACAGCTTTAAAGGTGGTCTCAGGATTGCACAAAAGAGAGATTTTTTGACGTGGAGTCATCGAAATCAAGAAGGTTATTTTCTGTGTAGAGGAATTGGAAGATGTTATTCTGGTCAATCATGAAAATGGAATGCAGTATATTTCGACCACTTAAATTTCATTTGGCGTTTTATTAAAACTGTACAAAGGTGCAATGCCCGCAACCACAATGGTGTTACAGTGTATGCCTTCAACGTAACGGGCACCGTAATCTTGGGACGTCAGCGGCACGGTGTCAAAATATTCATCTGTTGGGTGCTGCCCGTCGCTTACAATGAAAATAACGCCACGAACCGCCTAAACCGCGTCACGGTTTAACACAACCCCTTCCGCTACCACCGCGACCCAATCTCGTGGTGGAAGTTAATCGAGTCACGAGGGACCGAGTCATGAGAGGCCTATCGGTGGCTGATGTAGCTTGAATGTCACAAATTATATCTGCGAATTCACGATAACACTTAAAAGTTGCCTGAATCCTAGTCTCCTGGAACCGAGGTCTGCATCAACCCAAATCTGCAAAAGCAGCCTCAGGTTGGCACCGCTGTCGACTTAAACACGTCGTGGTGGTGGTCTCGCTGCGTCGGTGAGAGACTGCCGCTCCCTGCCGCCTCCGCGTCAATGTTGCTCGTCGCCATTCATGACAAAGTCCAGCAGCATTTAATGACATTTGCACTACAGAAATTGGCAAATTAAAAAATATAAAATTTACCAACAATTTAGTAGTAACAGTTTCCTAAAATACATTTTTAGAGCGTGGTCATAATAAAACAAACACATCAAAGTCACAGTTTAAATACAATTCCCGCTGTCCTTTCAACAAAAACAGGTCCTTGCAGGGTGGGCTGGTAGGAACAATGGAATTTTGCGCAATTTTATGACATTGTTACTTCCAAATGTTGGGTGCAATAAGACATATCAAGTCTCTGCGCTGTCTATTGCTGATTTTACACCCAACAGCACGAGATTTCACTTCGTTAAAGTATTGAAAGGGGACGGACGGACACATTAATCTATTGCAGGCTGGTACACTCAGTTTACAACTTCGTTCCTACCGGTAAAAATCATTCAACTTGGAAGGTGCCGCTCCCACCGCACAGTGTCCGCTGGGTCTGCTGGGAGAGGAGCTGCCAGGAGGGGGAGGGGCCGCAGAGGGGCGGGAATGGCAGCAGCCACGCGGTGAGCCGGCTCCAAATCCCCACTCCCAAGCTCTGCGGTCCTTTATGTATTCAGTTGTTTTCGGTCAATTACTGAATGTTTATACACGAGAGTAAACCTGACCATCCGGAGAAAAGCACGCGTGCGAGTGACCAACACCCTCTCACTGACAGATGGGAAAGTTGGGGTCCACGTTTAATGCACCCCAGTCTCCTGGCGAGCCAGGGTACGGCACCCGCTCTGCGTGTGATCCACCAACCCCCGTTGCTGCCTCCACAGTGCTGGACTCCGGGCTGCCACGTGCGTAGTCACCAGTGCCCAAGTTAACATATCAACACATCAACACATCAACATATCATAGCCAGGGACTGCACGCGATTCGGTATTTACCAGATGCAACAACTCTGCAAACCCCACACTTGGCACAAACATTGAAGCGGCTGACATGCATATAAACAAATACCAACTCCACATTGTTCTCCCGATACTTAAAAATGTAACAAAGCAGCATGGCACCCGGCTGGGGTAGTGCGGGGAGGGCCTCTCACGCCAGCCGCTGCTGCACCTCAACCATCCTCGCCCCCACACGAGGGAGGCCCCCACACGAGGGAGGGGGCCCCCACACGAGGTAGGGGGGGCCCACACGAGGGAGGGGGCCCCCACACGAGAGGGAGGCCCCCACACGAGGGGGGGGGGCCCACACGAGGGAGGGGGCCCCTCACACGAGGCGTCCCACTTGGTTGAGGGCTCCGTGCACAGAGGAAACCAGACGTGTTGGAGACAGCCGCCGAGGTTGAGACGAAGTAGAGAGGTGGTAGTGGTGGTGGTGGTGGATTCACGCCAGGCCTGGGAGGTGGTTGGGTGGTGGTGGTGGTGGATTCACGCCAGGCCTGGGAGGTGGTGGTGGTGGATTCACACCAGGCCGGCCTGAGGCCTGACAGGTGGTTGGGTGGTGGTGGTGGATTCACACCAGGCCGGCCTGAGGCCTGACAGGTGGTTGGGTGGTGTGGGCTGCTGGCCAGGGCGCGAGACTCGCGAGGGATTTTTTCCCAAAAGTATCAGTCGAGATAATTCATGGCTGTGACCAATTGTTATCAAGTGCGCAGGTAACGGGGTAGCTCGCGAAATCGCTTGGGTAAAGTCACGTGACGAATCGCGCCACGAACCCAGGCGGCCCGCTCACGGCCAACACAAACATTACAAAAGTAAACGACGCGCAGAGTGAATGTTGCGTTCGTCTAGGGCAGTGGTCGGCAAACCAATATAACAACAAGAGATACATTCATTACCAACTAGCTTGTTTGCCCGTCCGAAGACGGAAGCTTTAATATTTACGAAAACAAATGAGCAGAGTAGAGTATAATTGTATCTTGTGTAAATTTAATGGCAGTGAATTTTGCACAAAAGTATGTCATCAAACACTTCACTGCATTTCACTGTAGCACTGTATTAATGGCAGTGAATCTTGCACAAAGCTACGTGATAAAGACTTCCCTTCATGTCACTGTAGATAACTGACCTTCAATTTGTTCAAATTCACTGCTCTGATACTTTACTCTCTATTGCTTTCGGTTGCTGGGGTTGAAATAAATTGGAATTCGATACAATATATGGAAAATCACCGAGAAATGTCTATTTTACCATAATGTAGAAGCATAAATTAGACTTACCTTTTGTCTCAAGTACTGAAGAAATTAATAAAGATACCAAATCCACTTTGTTGCTGCGTAGAATTATTTATTAGATTCACTTTCAATAAAGAAACGTGAAACTTAAAGCGAATTTGCGAAAAAAATATATTTCCGCTCGACCTTCTGCGCGAGTGTAAAAATCCACCCGCTCATGAATATTAATGAGGGGGGTGCGGCATGTGGAGTGACGTCACACGCGTTACACACAAACAGACATTCTTGGCTCATAGTATTTTGAATTCGGTAAAAAAAGACACAGCTCCCTCAATCAAGAGAAGCAATGCGCGTGAATCCGAGACGGTGGTCCTCAACGGGCAACCCCACGAAACGGGCCCCTTGAAGAAAGAGCCGCCGCATTCGGCTCCTGAGCCGCAGGTTGCCGACTCCTGGCCTGGGATGACATCGAGAGGCTGCGTCTCAAATCAAATGAAAACGATTCCCGTTACTTGGCCCGGCTTCGAAGGAAAGTTGAATTGTCACGGAGCACGCGCGACGGAGCTGCCACCGCAGAATGATCACCTGAATGATCACCTGCGCCACTGTAAACAGCGTCGCGTTGCTTGGGGTTACCAGCCGCGTTGTTTGGGGTTACCAGCCGCGTTGTTTGGGGTTACCAGCCGCGTTGTTTGGGGTTACCAGCCGCGTTGCTTGGGGTTACCAGCCGCGTTGTTTGGGGTTACCAGCCGCGTTGTTTGGGGTTACCAGCCGCGTTGTTTGGGGTTACCAGCCGCGTTGTTTGGGGTTACCAGCCGCGTTGTTTGGGGTTACCAGCCGCGTTGTTTGGGGTTACCAGCCGCGTTGCTTGGGGTTACCAGCCGCGTTGTTTGGGGTTACCAGCCGCGTTGCTTGGGGTTACCAGCCGCGTTGTTTGGGGTTACCAGCCGCGTTGCTTGGGGTTACCAGCCGCGTTGTTTGGGGTTACCAGCCGCGTTGCTTGGGGTTACCAGCAGCGTTGTTTGGGGTTACCAGCCGCGTTGCTTGGGGTTACCAGCCGCGTTGCTTGGGGTTACCAGCCGCGTTGTTTGGGGTTACCAGCCGCGTTGCTTGGGGTTACCAGCAGCGTTGTTTGGGGTTACCAGCCGCGTTGCTTGGGGTTAACCAGCCGCGTTCGTCACCGTTGGTGCCAGCATCGGTCCTGCTTCTCTACGGGATTTGGGATCGGCTTCTACCGGAGTTCGAGTGTCCCGAAGGACACCCGTTTTCCACTTCAATCACAGTGGTAGATACAGAGACTTCCTTCGACTCCACAATCACCGATGTGGTCTTTTGTGTCACCTGGTGGACCACAGCGCGAATTTACCCGAAAGTTCAGCAGATGTTGAGGATCCACGTGGGAGTTTTGTCTGGTTACTAGGCAAGAGTAAACCCTTGACTTAAAGCTTTCGTGACTGCAGGAATTCATATTCTTTGGGTCTTTCGGTAAAGTCACGTTGATAGGTTAAAATTAATAAAAATAAAATAAACAAAATAACATTTTTTGCATTAATTTGAACCTATCAACGTGACTTTATCGAAAGACCCAAAGAATAAGAAAAAAAACCCACCATTAATATCACTTATGTATGTTGAACTTCTTTCTCACCGCACGTAGCCAACCGTGCTAATTGAAGGTGTGGGGGGTAGGAGAACAAACTAAACACAAAAAGTAGTTATAAATAAACAGCTTTTTGAGATAAAACAACAATGACACGAGTTATCATTCCTTACAAAATATTGGGATCTAAACATTAAAAAAACACAATTTCAACCGGGCTTCTCGAGAAGCAATTGGCTATTCCATGTGCACAAAGTGGGTCGTCTGTCTCGACGCAGGCGACCTCCTGTGAGCTGAGCGCGCCCTGTGCGAGGTGCTATGCGTGGTGCGCTATGCGTGGTGCTCCCTGTGCGAGGTGCTATGCGTGGTGCGCTATGCGGGGCGCTATGCGGGGTGCTCCCTGTGCGAGGTGCTATGACGGGGTGCGCTATGCGCGGTGCGCTATGCGTGGTGCTCCCTGTGCGGGGTGCTATGCGTGGTGCGCTATGCGTGGTGCTCCCTGTGCGGGGTGCTATGCGTGGTGCGCTATGCGCGGGGTGCTATGTGTGGGGCCTGTGCAGCAGCGAGCTCGATCGCCCAGCGAGTCGATGTGCCCCATTGCTGCCCCTCGCCTCGTTCCCAGAATTCCCCACTTCGTCGTCGGAGCTCGCGTTGGAGGAGCCGACCCTGAAGGTGGCCGGGCCCGCCAGGCTTTGCGTTTCTCCTCCGCCGTCCACCTCGTCTCGTCCGTCCCGTGGCCGGAGGACCTTTGACCTCTCGAGGGTGTGAACTGCAAACACAAAAAGTGTCGTGACAGACACGGCGGCTGCATTCGAGGCCATCGCCGAGGGTTGCCACCTGCCCAGGTTGCCCGGCGTTTGCGTTCGGGTGGCAGGAATTGATTTGTACCGATAATTTGCACCCGTATTGTGTTGAACTTTATTGCAGTAAACTGCAAGGCGTTGATGGACCTAGGCCGACTGAGAAATGAGTCTGTGTTTGGTCTGCAGTGCTTCTTGCATAGCGCACAGTGAGTGCTGTGCAGTGGCGGTGGTGTGGTGGTGTGGTGGTGTGGTGGTGGTGTGGTGGTGTGGTGGTGGTGTGGTGTGGTGGTGGTGTGGTGGTGTGGTGGTGTGGTGGTGGCGGGGAGTGGTGGTGGCGGGGAGTGATGGTGTGGTGGTGTGGTGGTGTGGTGGTGGTGTGGTGGTGGTGGGGAGTGGTGGTGTGGTGGTGTGGTGGTGTGGTGGTGGTGTGGTGGTGTGGTGGTGGTGTGGTGGCGGGGAGTGGTGGTGTGGTGGTGTGGTGGTGTGGTGGTGGTGTGGTGGTGTGGTGGTGTGGTGGTGGTGTGGTGGTGTGGTGGTGGCGGGGAGTGATGGTTAGCACTGCGCTGCGAACCCGGTCACCCGAGTTTGATTCCCGCTCATGGCCACCACCACCAGTGACGATTATCTGAACCGGTGCTGTGCCTCCCCTAGTTTTGGCTCAGTCTCAACGGTGTGAAAGCATCGCAACTTGGAAGACGAAGGCGGCCGGGCGTTGTGGTGACTACAACCACCCCCCTTCTGTGCCGTGCCGGCCTTTGTAGGTGCTTCTCGCCGCTAACAGCGCTTATCGCAACGGTCTGTGCAGGCTACACGGGGGATCTTTGTCTTTGTGTGTGGCGGTGCTGCCGCGTGGCGCCCGCGTGGGGCCGCTTCTGCTGCTCACCGAAGCGAGGCCTCACGTGGGGCGGCTCCCGCGTGGAGTGCGCGGGCAGAGTCCCGTGCCGGCGTAGCCTCCGCTCCAGCTGGACGTGGTGGGGGCGGTGGTGGGGGCGGTGGGGGGGGGGGGGGCACAGGGGGTGGGTGGGGGTAGAGGTTGGGGTGGTGGTTGTGGGTAGAGGTGGGGGTGGGTGGGGGTAGAGGTTGGGGTGGTGGTTGTGGGTAGAGGTTGGGGTGGTGGTTGTGGGTAGAGGTTGGGGTGGTGGTTGTGGGTAGAGGTTGGGGTGGTGGTTGTGGGTAGAGGTTGGGGTGGTGGTTGTGGGTAGAGGTTGGGGTGGTGGTTGTGGGTAGAGGTTGGGGTGGTGGTTGTGGGTAGAGGTTGGGGTGGTGGTTGTGGGTAGAGGTTGGGGTGGTGGTTGTGGGTAGAGGTTGGGGTGGTGGTTGTGGGTAGAGGTTGGGGTGGTGGCACACGGAGTGGTTGTGAGATTCACGACATTCACCTGCAGCTGGAGATGAACGCTTTGCGGGTACACCTCATGAGCAACAGTGACTAACCTGGGACCTCTCACAGTTATAATTATCAATGGCTTCCCACCAGGGGTGCAGCCACTGTTCCCACTTCCCCAACGCGGCTGGATACGGCCGATAAACTCTCGTAAAAAAATGTGGGCAATGATGGTTGCGGTTTTTCCGCTTCAGCAAGTTGACATAAATGATGATTTTGCATGTTCACCACAAGTACGAGTGGTTAATGCAGACTTGATTCCTTGCGAAAGGTTTGTTTTATTACCATTCGATGATTTTGCTTTTGACAGAAACTCTCAACCGCACAGTGGCACAAAAGCAGCCGGCTCAGTGCTCGCCAATAATAGCACCGTGGTTCAGTTCAGCGCAGTTCATACTCGCTGAAAATTCCGCGCAAACGTGTGGCGCACTCTCGCAAACACCCGCGTCGAATAGCGCGAGAGAGTGCGGGACAGAGGCATAAGCCGCGTCGCGTGCCTCTTGTTCCAGACACTCGCGTCGCGCGGCCGCCGTCCGCCAAGCCAACGAAGCGATAACTCGCGGGACGCCTCCAGCTTACAGAGTGAGGCTGTGCCCCCAAGCACCCCGTCTCCGTTCACCGCTGCCTGCGAGGGCCCCCTGCCCCTGCGCGACTCGTGACCGCGCGTGACTCCGCACGCCCGAGAAGCCCGCTTACATCGGTGGAGGGGCAGACAGAACCAGGTTTTTCAGGCCGATGGAGATGGCATCACACTTCCTGTGGCTGAACTCCGTTTCGTGCCGTGGGTTTCCCCAAAGCGGACTTCAAACACGGCAGTGCTACATTCCAAAAGCATTCCTTGCTATCGTCACCCCTGCAGGTCAACTCTCACATAGCTGGTGCGCGACGAGGAGTGTGCATGCGTGTGTGTGTGTGTAATATATTGTCTTTGTGTGTATATATGTGGAGCGGTGGCATAGCAGTTAGCACGTTGCGCTACCAACCCGGCGACCCGAGTACGGTTCCTGCTCACGGTCAACACCAGTGACGATTATCTGACCTGGTCCTGGGTCTCCCCAGGTAAACATCGCCACTGGGGAGACAAATGCGTGCACCACCGGTCTTCATAGGTGTTCTCTCACAGCACTTGCCCTTACGGTCTGTTAAGGCTACATGGGGGATCTTTGTCTTGGTATTTTTATATACACAGTGGTCGAAATGTGATTGTAGAGCACTATCCGTAGTTGTCCCGTGCCTCTCCGCACTGCGTGTAGATTTGCTTGCGTGATTAATTTTCTCTCGTACATAGTAGAGTGCTCAACGACGACCGCTAAACCGGTAACCACTTCCGGGATCACTGCCGGTTCTCAAAGTCAGGAAGCGGCGACCGTTTCCCCGCTGGGTGCCCTCGTTTTCCAATAAAAATGTCAGCAACTTTCAACGGCCGCGCCAGGAGATTGAACCGAACCGGCATCCTCTGGGATTCCCAGTCCGGCGTGCTCAGCATCTCACCACGGCCGCTGCTTGAGTTTCCCGGTTAAACAAAGGTAGGACTGTGAAGTTTCCATCATCGAGGTTTTCTGTGTTAGATCACATAAATATATAAATGTGTTGTCGTTAAATTCGCCACCACCCGACACAGCCAACTAGTAAGGTTTGTCACGTGAACAGAACGTGGCAATTCGTTACTAGTAATAACACCGGTGTGTTGGAGAGTAAACCAACTTATGGTGGCGGGTTTAACGACAACACATTTATATTTACGCGATTTAACTCCAGAAACCTCTATCATGGATAATGTCGGTCGTGAAACCCTGCTACGTGTTAAACTGACTGCGACGTTTGCCGCGAGGTATTTTCGTACGCGCGGCAATCCGATAACTGGATTCTTCTTGACCGATTCTTTTTTTCACTTCACGCGGCTACCTCCAACGCAAATCCAAAACAGATTTTTGTTTTTTTTTACCACCCCCCCCCCCGCGACGGCAGCGAACCGCGCGCCTGCGTCTCCTCTCGTGGACGTGACCCACCTGCTCGGGGTTCGTGTTCTGCAGGAAGACCTCCGTCTCCTGGCTCTCCGTGGGCAGGTTGTGGCGGCTGTATGACGATATCTGTGGGGGAAACGTTGGGAGGCCGGTGACAAACTTCAGATGAAACTATGAGCTCGCTTTAGGAAGTTCTAATTGTGTCAGCGTGTCGTGGGTGAGTGCTGCACCCCGTCAAGGCAGCTTCTCGACAGGAAAAAAAAAACGAGAATTGGTCATGTTGGGATCGCGAAAATGTATGTATGTACATATGTTAAACTTATTTCGCACCGTACGTAGCCAACCGTGTTTATCGAGATTCTTAAAGGGGTTCTTAACCAGGACAAATTCTGAAACCTTTTTTGTGAATTCCTTTTTTGTAAACGATGTTGATCAACAAATATGCTTGCACATGCTGAAGTAAAGTTATTTCGTCTTAACTTTATCATTGGATCTCATCTCATCCCAGGTTGATTCATTTGAGTTCAGCTGACTGGGCCCAACATCTCAAAAGCAAACACTCAACCCAAACATAGCTCGCACATAGGGGCACTCGTGTGGGACCCAGCACTTTGGGACAAATGATTTGGAGATCGCGTGACGTGGCTCAGAGATGACAATACAATAAGGGTGTTCACGAACCCATCCGTGTGGATCTCTGAGTGTTAGCCCCCCCAGTTGCAAGTAAATTATCCAGGGCACTTTGGTTTCCTCCTACCTACAATTGGCCAAACAACCCAATGCAGGATCCTCCTCCTGAGAGTCTTGAGACTCGGTGAGGGTTCCTTGGGTAAATAAGAAATTAAATTGCTGTGCCGGTGTTTCAAAAAGCCTCCACATTTCAAACACTCGAGCTCACTCTTATGTTTAACGACAATATACGTCTTCTTCAATTAGACATTCTTGACAATATCTTTTATAATGGAGATTCTATGAAGGGAATGTTGTAGTGTCTGTGTGTGGTGCGAGGAGGTCTCGCTGTGGAGGGGAGTGCTCAGCCAGGCCACGTTACCCTCTTTCGGGGCCGGTAGAGACTCCTGTTCAAGAGGCGTCGGATGTCCTTCATGCGATCGTCTTTACAAAATACGTCCTTGGGCCGCTCATCCTCACTCTGCCCAGACACAGTGGACCTCTCTTCCAGGCACCTGTCACCAACAAACACCGGCGCAGCAGATGTCAAGAGCAGAGCGAAGCATTCGCAATGGAAGCAAAACACAACGACGTTTCACAATGAATGTTACCCTCCTTCCATTATATGCCGCCCCCCTCTGATCCACAACACTAACGCGGGGTGGGGGCCAGTGTGGGGTGGGGGCCAGTGTGGGGTGGGGGCCAGTGTGGGGTGGGGGCCAGTGTGGAGTGGGGGCCAGTGTGGGGTGGGGGCTGGTACGGGGGGGGGCTAGTGCGAGGTGGGGGTTCGGCAGGGTGGGGGCCAGTGTGGGCCACGGCGCCGGCGCTCACAGGACGGAGGCTGTGGACGGCACTCGGAACATGTCGATGCGCTGCATCGCCTGCTTCATCTCCAGCTTGCGGTACATGCCCAGGATGTGCGAGTCCTCGTGCGCGTCCTCGCGCACCAGCAGGGGCCACAGGAACCTCCGGTTGAACTTCTCGAACCTGGGCACAGACGGCGCACGTCGGTGGCGGCCGGACGAGAGGCGCCGGGCGCTCGCAACTAAACCGCCGTGCGGGCGCTCACCTCTCTCTGACGTTGTTGTGGGAGTAGTGGCCGCAGATGTCCTCCATCCCGATCACCAGGTGGTCCAGACTCTGGGGTCGGGGTGGGCGGCAGCGGCAACGCGCGCCGTGAGGATCCGACGCGGCCATCGATTTTAAAAGCCGCCGGCACGTGAAGCTTGGACGATGGCACGCAAGTTTGCGCGGAGGGCCGACGGTAACGTGGGTGATGATGTCGGTCATTAATCGAGGCAACTTTTGTCAGGAGGGTCCTGCACTAGGGTGTGTCGCCACTTCCTTTTCAAGAAGTGTTCAGCGTGGAAATACTGGCGTGCATGAGGTGATAATAACGATGTTAACATCGATGCTCACAATACTTGCATCAAATTGTGTTCATAACAATCAATTAGTTATATCTGTTGAGATGATCTATGTATGTTGAACGTACGTAGCCAACAATGCTAATCGGGGGCGGCGTTGTCTAGTCCCCTGCCACGCGATATGCATTCGTCATCTCCATTTACAACGGAGCGCCGCTGGCCCCGGCGAGACAGCGCTAGGCGGGGGAGCTGCGGCCGGGGTCATCATCGGCGTGCTCGTGCCGTTACCCGGGTGGCGAGCTCCTCTGCCATGGTGGCCACATGCCCCGACCGCCGCTCCACGTCCAGCATCTGCAGCAGCGGGCGAATAGTGGTGCCCTGTGCGCAGAGGAGAGTGGGCGGGCGGGCGAGTGAGCGGGTAAACGGGCGAGTGGGTGAGTGGGTGAGTGGGCGAGTGGGTGAGCGAGTGAGTGGATGAGTGGGTGAGCGAGTGAGTGAGCGGGTAAACGGGCGAGTGGGTGAGCGAGTGAGTGGATGAGTGGGTGAGCGGGTGAGTGGGCGAGTGGGTGAGCGAGTGAGTGAGCGGGTAAGCGGGCGAGTGGGTGAGCGAGTGAGTCGATGAGTGGGTGAGCGAGTGAGTGGGCGAGTGGGTGAGCGAGCGAGTGAGCGGGTAAACGGGCGAGTGGGTGAGCGAGTGAGTGGATGAGTGGGTGAGCGGGTGAGTGGGCGTTGTGGGTGAGTGGGCGTTGTGGGTGAGCGAGCGAGTGAGTGAGTGGGTGAGTGGGTGAGCGAGTGAGTGAGTGGATGAGTGGGTGAGCGGGTGAGTGAGCGAGTGAGTGAGTGGGTGAGTGGGTGAGCGAGTGAGTGGATGAGTGGGTGAGCGAGTGAGTGAGCGGGTGAGTGGGCGAGTGGGTGAGCGAGTGAGTGAGTGAGTGGGTGAGCGAGTGAGTGAGTGAGTGAGCAAGTGGGTGAGCGGGCGAGCGCTACTCGCCCATCCCCTGGGTACGTACACGTACAAGGTAGCCCAAGAGTCAGGACAACACAAGGTGTTTTCACTAATTTTACCAAATGTTCAACTTGACTACCATTACGATTAAGGCATTCACAAAATTATATCGTTATCATTGTACTGTACTTCTATGCGCCCAAATCCGTGCTTCCCGTGTTCATCAACCCGCCACGACCAGGGTGGGGAAGTATGACCAAATAGCCCCTACGACCCGCATGGTGTGGGGAGGCCCTCACCCAGCAAGGGAAGCTCAAATTCAGCGTTCGGTCTCCTCGTGTGATGAGTCTCGCGGTTTTGGTTGTGATTGGTATTTATTTAATTGCTGTACAATTCTTTATTTGTTTTGTTTTTCTCATTTCGTGACCCACGTCACTTGCACATGAGACTCTACCCTGGTCTCTTGAGGTCTCCCCTGGTGAGACAAAATCAACTTGAAACTTTGACGAAAGGGGCAACACGGGTGCGTATTGTGGACAAGACCCTAACCACAGGGCCCACAGGCCAAAAATACCAAGCGGCCAGCAACAAACAGCACCACCAAAGTTATATTGTTATTAAGACGGTTGGTCACTTGAGCTCGGTTCTACTGCTGCATGAAGAGCTTGGGGAGAGGGAAGCGATGGGAGGGAGTTCCAAAGCGGGGCGGTGCGAAGGGAGAGAAGCAGAATGAGCAGTGTGCTCGGACCGCTGTGTGCGTCACCATCAGCCAACACAATAACCATTAGAATAATTATTATTCTTGTTGACACTTCTAAAGCGCCTTTCACCCGGAGATCACAAGGCGCCGTACAAAACACGCACACACACACGTACAGGCTCACAGCAAGAACATCCAAACTCCAATACAAAGGATTCAAGAAATTTGAAACCACCATTTAAAAAAAACCTGCTGCGTCTTAACGCGCGATTTGAATAAAACGAGGGGGGTCAGCAGAGGGAGCGTCCAGTGGACGTGAATCGAGAAGTGGCCCGGTCAGCCACGTGGACCTCGACACTCCCGACAGGCCGGACGGGGAGGTCCGCAGCGCTCTTCCTGGATCGTGGGCGAGCACCTGCACGAAGACGGTGAAGAAGATGACGGCGATGCTGGCGGTGAGGAAGACGGACTTGCGCACGAAGGGGTCGGTGGGAAGCAGGAAGACGAGGGAGAAGCAGACGGCGCCGCGCAGGCCTCCGTAGGCGATGACGAACTGCTCCTTGATGCCCAGCGGCACGAGGCGCATCTTGTTGGTGATGTACGTGATGACGAGCACTCCTGCGCACCGCGCGGGGCGACACGGCTCCGTCGGGCGCGCGTCGCTCGTCGCGTTCATCCGTGCGTGCGGTTTTAGCGATTTCGTTGCGAACGATGCTCCTGGGTTGGCGGCAGGGCAAGCGAGCTGCCACCAACCATGCTGGGGTATCTCTTCACACGTGGGGGGGGGGGGGGGGGTTATCCGGCCACTCCACTTTCCTCCCACGATCAATATACCCATTAAGGAATGTGGCGTGAACTGTGCTGATACAGCTGTACCTGTACTGGGTATATTGCGACCTGCAATGTGTGACCACAACCTCCGTGAATGACGCGGCGTAGATTTAAATAACTTTCATTGCCGGTTGCGCTCTCTCGCATCTTTAGTCAGATCGGCACAAGCTCACAGGGCTTCACTGTCACATGCAGAAGCTGTCGCGAAAACATTGTTAAAAAAGTCCTTTGCACAACACTTACATTCACATACATTTACTTGCATTCACCTACATTCACTTAAATTATCCTACATTCACCTACATTCACCTACATTCACTTACATTCACTAAACTTAACATACATTCACTTACATTCACTTAAATTAACATACAATCACCTACGTTCACTTACATCCACTTACATTCACCTACATTCACTTAAATTAACATACATTCACTTACATTCACTAACATTCACCTACATGCACTTACATTCACTAACATTCACCTACATTCACTTAAATTAACATACATTCACCTACATTCACTTAAATTAACATACATTCACCTACATTCACTTAAATTAACATACATTCACCTACATTCACTTAAATGAACATACATTTACTTACATTCACCTACATTCACATACATTCACCTACATTCACCTACATTCATTCACCTACATTCACCTACATTCACCTACAATTCACCTACATTCACTTAAATTAACATACATTCACTTACATTTACCTACATTCACATACATTTACTTACATTAATCTACATTCACTTATAATCACCTACATTCACTTACATTCACCTACTTTCACTTACATTCACTAAACTTAACATACATTCACCTACATTCACTTAAATTAACATACATTCACCTACATTCACTTACATTCACCTACATTCACCTACATTCACTTACATTCACTAAACTTAACATACATTCACTTACATTCACTTAAATTAACATACAATCACCTACGTTCACTTACATCCACTTACATTCACCTACATTCACTTAAATTAACATACATTCACTTACATTCACTTACATTCACCTACATTCACTTACATTCACTTACATCCACTTACATTCACTTACATTCACTTAAATTAACATACATTCACTTACATTCACTAACATTCACCTACATCACTTACATTCACCTACATTCACCTACATTCAGTTACATTCACTTACATTCACGGGGAGTTCTTCGATTCAGCAGTCGGTAGAGAAAGGACAAAGTCACTCAAATGAGCGTTGATGCGCTCCTGCAGAACCAATCGTGGAAATTCCATATTCCTATGGTAGGGCTGGACAACCACTGCTGACTGACTTCCCCACAAAGTGGTATCCATTTTATAGACCCTAGAGGGATGATGGGCCGAGTCAACCCTAAACCGTGGGGTGTGAACTCGCAACCTTCCCGATCGCGAGCCGCTCGCTCAACTGCTCAGCCGGCCGGCCGCGGCTGCCAAAAAAACGACAGCGGCAGCGGCACCCGGCACGTGCCGCGTCGGTGGCCGTGGCGAACCTGGCGCTCGGCAGGACGAGGAGGAGGGAGGAGGAAGGAGGAGGAGGAGTGGAGGATGATTACCGACGATGCGGCAGCTGAGGCAGGCGATGAGCGTGAAGCAGATGAAGGCGCCGTTCCACTCGTGGCCTCGCGCCGACACCGTGGAGACGCCCAGGAACATGAAGATGAGCGTCTCGCTCACGCTGCTCAGCGTCTTCACGGCGTAGCGGATCGTGGTGCGGGACTTGTAGCTGATGTTGGCCTCCACGTACGGCCGCATGAGGACCGCGCTCGAGACGATGCTGGCGGCAGGGAGAGACCGACGTCAAACACGGCTCAGGCCCGCGGCTTCGCGTTAACACCTAGAAGAAGATTCTTCTTCAAGCGGGCCCTCGAAGTTGGGAGCCGTATTGACGTCACGGAGCGGAGAAGCGGCCCCAGCAACAACAGCTCCTCGCCCCTTTGAGCAGCTGCACCTGTGCAGGACGCCAGAAACGCACGGCAGGCAGGCACAGACAGACTCCAGCACAGGCAGACCACACCTCACCACACCTCACCACCGCCACCACCACACCTGACCACACCTCACCACACCTCACCACCACCACCACCACACCTGACCACCACCGCCACACCTCACCACCACCGCCAGACCTGACCACCACCCAGGGACGTGCGGTCAGGGGAGGCAGGGGAGGCAGAGCCTCACCTGTCATACTCCAATGAAAACAGCTTACGAAAAAAAAGAATAATCAAATTAAATAAATATTAAGATTTTCCACTGATCTGTGTTATAACTGTCATTTCTGTACGATTCCAATCATTTTTGTAGTCAAAATCGCCAAATTTGCGGAGCTCCGCTGCAAATTGAGGAAGAGACGAGAGGTGAGGCAGCGACGAGCTCAGCCTCCCCTCTGATTGCGCAACCCCTCAGTAACTGGATGGAGCGCGGGCAATAAGCGCGTGCCTGTTACTATCTCGGTATGTCACCAATGTAATGTTTGTAGACCCATTCATTTCATGTCTTCACCTTCCATACTCCAGGAAACTTATTTCACGTGTGTGTATAAAGATATTTAGGCTCGCTGGTCTCGTCATGAAACTGCAATGAAAAAGCACCAGGGGAGGCAGCTATCACATCTGCCTCACTGAGGGGGGCGTGTCTAACACGCCCCCTTCAGTGAGGACACGCCCCTCAGTGAGGCCACGCCCCCCTCAGTGTGTGAATCTGGCTCTGACACTAGCCAGTGCCTCCCCAGCCATTGACCTCACCACCACCACCACACCTCACCACCACCGCCACACCTGACCACCACCACCACCACCGCCACACCTCACCACCACCGCCACACCTCACCACCACCACACCTCACCACCACCGCCACACCTGACCACCACCACCACCACCACACCTCACCACCACCACCACCACACCTCACCACCACCGCCACACCTCACCACCACCACCACATCTGACCACCACCACACCTCACCACCACCACTACCACACCTCACCACCACCACATCTCACGAGCACCACCACACCTCACCAGCACCACCACACCTCACTACCACCACCACACCTCACCAGCACCACCACACCTCACCAGCGCCACACCTCACCAGCACCACCACACCTCACCACCACCACTACCACCACCACACCACCACCACACCTCACCAGCACCACCACCACCACACCACCACCACCCCTCACCAGCACCACCACACCTCACCACCACACCTCACCAGCACCACCACACCTCACAGCACCACACCTCACCAGCACCACCACACCTCACCACCACCGCCACACCTCACCACCGCCACACCTCACCACCACCACCACACCTCACCACCACCGCCACACCTCACCACCACCACACCTCACCACCACCACACCTCACCACCACCACACCTCACCACCACCGCTCAGCGACCCACAAGATCATCCCTGACAGATCGATCGCCTGTGACTTCCGCACTCGCGACATCGCGGAGTGTGTCAGGAGACTCCAACTCTGAGGAATGACAGAGTTCGCGTGATTGTCATGCAAAGGTGAACTGTGTGCAGCACACGGAGCCTTGTGGTTGTTGTTGTTGTTTTAAGCCTCTGACGGTGGTGGTGGCGATTACAGACGCATCGCCATTGTGACGTCATCATGCTGACGCGCCGTGGCGCTCAGATGACAGAGCCCCTCGTTGTAACGTTCCCTCGTCTCAGAACAAGCAGCCGGTTGTCTGTCCCAACGTAACGTCATAAAGAGTGAGGCCCCGTGGCAGATGGAGGGGGGCGCTGTGAGCGGGGACCTTCGGGGTTCGTGCACAGGTTCCACACCGAGGCCCGGGCATGTCCCTGTGCGTACGTAGTTTTATTTTCATTGTGTTGAGTCCCGTTGGCTCAAAGCCAAGGCTCACAATGGCCACGACTACTGTACACTTACGTCAACGAGAAGGGAACTTTCCACGCAATTGGCATTGGGCCGAACCAAAAAAACCCCTCGAGCTGCGCGGGTAGCAACAAACACGGCCATTGTTCACTTACGTCGCTTTCTCAATTACCCGCCTCGGACGCAGGCCACTGGCGTACGCGGTGATTTTTAAAGGTGAATGAGAAAACAGGGATCGTCACAGAACCACGGCGCTTGCAGCCACCGCCGTCGTTGTCCGCTTGGCGTCACCGGTTTACGACCGGCGCGGCGCCATCGCGACGATCGCGGTCGGTCGGGTCACGTGAGTGGCCGAGCGGTCGGGTAACGTGAGAGGCCGAGCGGTCGGGTCACGTGAGTTGCCGAGCGGTCGGGTCACGTGAGTGGCCGAGCGGTCGGGTCACGTGAGAGGCCGAGGGGTCGGGTCACGCGGGAGGCCGAGCGGTCGGGTCACGTGAGTGGCCGAGCGGTCGGGTCACGTGAGTTGCCGAGCGGTCGGGTCACGTGAGAGGCCGAGGGGTCGGGTCACATGGGAGGCCGAGCGGTCGGGTCACGTTAGTGGCCGAGCGGTCGGGGCACGTGAGTGGCCGAGCAGTCGGGTCACGTGAGTGGCCGAGCGGTCGGGTCACGTGAGTGGCCGAGCGGTCGGGTCACGTGAGAGGCCGAGCGGTCGGGTCACGTGAGTGGCCGAGCGGTCGGGTCACGTGAGAGGCCGAGCGGTCGGGTCACGTGAGAGGCCGAGGGGTCGGGTCACGTGAGTGGCCGAGCGGTCGGGTCACGTGAGAGGCCGAGGGGTCGGGTCACGTGAGAGGCCGAGCGGTCGACTCGCGAGCTGCGATTTCCACTTTAATCCCTTGTCACCACACAGCTGCGATTCCTCTACCCCAGTTATTCTTAACCTTTACTTCAACCTTGCACTCGTTTTGGTTCTTAATCGTTACAAAAATGTTAAATACATGGGTTCGATTAAACAAAGTAAGTTGTACTTACGTGCCCCGTGCTTAATTTGTGTTTGGATGATTTACCTTCTAAAGAAATCTGTTCATGTCCCGCACCCCCAGGGGCAGGTGCGTGCACCCCAGGTAAAGAACCACTGCTCCAGAGTGTTTGGTGACGGCACGAAACGACCGCGACCAACCAACACCACCCCTCCGTACCGCTGCGCACGTTCCTGAAATGTCACTGACAAATGGCGAGACGCCGATCGTGCCGGCCTCTGTGCTTTGTTTTTATGGCTGAAGCCATCCGGGGCCATCCAGAGCCAGACTCAGCCGCAGCCGCAGCAGCAGCAGCGATTGACTTGGCCTCAGCAGCTGACGCTGCTACGCGACGTTCAAACGTTGATGTAGATAGCTAAGGCTGCCATTCTATTTCAACCATGTAACGTTGATGTAGATCGCTAAGGCTGCCATTCTATTTCAACCAGGTAACGTTGATGTAGATCGTTAAGGCTGCTATTCTATTTCAACCAGGTCACGTTGATGTAGATCGCTAAGGCTGCCATTCTATTTCAACCAGGTAACGTTGATGTAGATCGCTAAGGCTGCCATTCTATTTCAACCAGGTAACGTTGATGTAGATTCTTATTGTAGATCGTTAAGGCTGCCATTCTATTTCAACCAGGTAACGTTGATGTAGATCGCTAAGGCTGCCACTCTATGTCAAGCAGGTAACGTTGATGTAGATCGCTAAGGCTGCCATTCTATTTCAACCAAGTAACGTTGATGTAGATCGTTAAGGCTGCCATTCTATTTCAACCAGGTAACGTTGATGTAGATCGCTAAGGCTGCCATTCTATTTCAACTTTATAAACGCGTGTTTATAAATGTGGGGTGAAAACCCGGACGACCCGGGAGAAAAATCCACGCCACCACAGGGAGAGAGACACGCAAACTCCAAATTTACAGCAGCAGGCGTCAGGGCCAGGATCGAACCCACGACCTCCTGCATACCTGGCGAGGTAGTTAACATCTCCTAGCCACCGTGACGCCCCAATTCACCAAACCGTGCACGAGAAGACTGGGTTGGGCAACGAGGAGATTGCAGCAAACATAACGACTGCTCTGAGCACATCCTTAAAGGATCGCTGCGTCGATGAGTCGAATTAGCAATACTCAGTTCGAGATGAGGGATTGCGCATACAGTCCAGTAAAATAATAAACACACCAATTCATCAGTTTAAGTCTGTATGCCTTTTAGATCAGAGTTTCCCAGTATTGTTTGTTTTAGAGAGAAAGACTTGGCACGAATGCAAGTTTAATATCTTCAGCGAGGTGTGGCTGCTGATCAGTCACCAACGTGGGCCCTGACATTACGGGCAGCAGCACTCACAAACGTCTGTACAAACTCGTTACAGCTCCGGCACAACAAAGCAAACTCGTAGAGTCACAAACTAATCAAGTAACAAAGAAAAAAGAGTTGCTGTTTGCTTCTTGTGGGAGATTCACACAGAGGGATGGTGTCCGTCTGGAATATGAACCACGCGGTCTGTGGATCGTCCTCCTAACTTGTGCGTGCAGAGGTACTGACAACGTGAAAGAGGCGCTTTGTCTGCTATCACCACTTCGAGAATTACCTTCCCCACAACGACGCGCATTATTACTGAGTGTAAACTTGGATTATATTGAGCCGCTGTGAGCGAACGCAACTGGCAGCGGTGCGAGGGGAGGAGGCTTCAGTTCGTCAAGATGGGAAATCCCAAAGCACTAACGAGTAAGACATCTTCCACCACACACCTCCTGGTGAGCCTCGAGCCGGACGACCGCAGCATCGCTTGCACAGACATCGCCTGCCAGCACACGCTGCTGTTGGCCCTGGGTGTGGTGAACCCAGGCAGCCATCCACGATGTCACGGACTGCTCCAGTGCAGTCCGTTGGAGACCTCCATCCAGCCACCAATAGTTTGCCAAAAAGCCACCACGTCAAATGTGCGTTTGCACTTTGTTTGGCTAAACTCCAGCTCTGAGCGTTGACAATATCGGGTTTTGATTTTCGTGAAACGATCTCATCGCAGGGCGCGTGGGCAGTGCAACCTCTGCAGTGAAAACGCTTTAGAACAATTCGGCCGCAATGCAACAACATCTGTTCCTCTCTGTGAGATTTCCAAATGGAATCTTCATATCACGGCAAGATCGCAGTAGCGAAACAATTGGAATAAATTGGAATTAGGACAAAAAAACTATCAAAATGTAGTTAAATCTTGACTTGAAGCTTTCGTGACTGCAGAAATTCATATTCTTTGGGTCTTTCGGTAAAGTCACGTAGATAGGTTCAAAGAAAATAACAAACAAGAATAACAAAGAACTACTGTCGTTTATTTTTTATTTTTTGTTATGTTCTTTGAACCTAAATTTTGATTTAAAGCTTTCGTGACTGCAGTAATTCATATTCTTAGTTTTTTCGGTAAAGTCACGTTGAAGAGAAACAACAAAATAACAAAATATATATAAAACAATAAAAAATTCTCACGACGTTTCGACCATAACTCAAACGGTCATCATCAGGTGTGTCGGTTTGCATAAATTTATTTTGAAAACGGCATATTTATTTATTTATATAAAAAAAATAACGTTTGCGTCACGCGCAACGATTGGCTGTTTGCCAGGACTAGTCCATCTATTTTTTGAAAAGAGGAGGGGGGAGACGAAATTTGTTTTTATGTATGCTGTCTGAAAGCCACTGTAAGCGTGAACAATCAATCAAGAACTGAAATGATTTATCAAATCTTTCCAATGATTGCTAAGATAGAATCCATCTTCTCGGTTGAAATTGTCTCTGTGTTTGTATATGTGGATAGCCTCATGAACGAATCTCTCATGGAAGCCAGATGGCTTACAAAGAACCTCCGTCTTGGAAAAGTCAATGGCATGTGAGCCTACTGAATTAGAACAATGATCTGCTACGGCCGAGGTGTTGGTCCTACCGTGTTTAAGGTCTGCTTTATGTTCACGAATGCGGTCCGAGATATGGCGTTTGGTTTCTCCAATGTAACTACTACCACAGAGGCAACTTAGTTTGTAGACACCAGGGTATTGTATGTCCGGAATCACATCTTTTACAGACGGAACCAGATCACGGATTTTATGTAATGTGTTGAAACGGACCTGGATCTTGTGTTTATTCAAGATTTTGGAGATCTTTTTTGTGATCCCAGCAATGTAGGGTAAAGTGATGGTTTTGAAAGGCTCCTCAAGAGGGTTCTTCTTCATGGTTTGAGTGATAGCTTTGCGGATTGTATAGTCGGAGTAACCTTCTTTGAACCTATCTAGTGACTTTACCAAAAGACCCAAAGAATAAAAATACAAATGTAATTACCCACGCATTGGGCACCGTGAAGCCAGCGAGCCATGCGGGTTCAGATCAAATAACAGGCACTTGTGATGGGGTCGTTGGCGGAGGATAAAGAGGCTGCCTGAGTGGAGGGACCGCCACAAATTGCCACCTGCGCGGCGTGGGTCACGCGAGCAGGGCCACTGCCACGCCAGCACCGAGCGGCCACTCCGCCCCGCGCAGGGAGGGGGCGCCGCGTGCGGGCGAATCGCGAAGACGCACTCGCTGCTGCACGCTGCTTCCTACTTGCTGCGCTCAACTGCCCGTGGCCGAAACGCGATCGGCATTCGGCCACCGTCCGCCTTCGAGAGGCACCTGGAGTCGAAAGTGGAAACGCTGCGCTGGGCGCCGCGTGTCGCGTTCGAACATTGTTCTGTCCGTTCGCGATATCCTGCGCTCGTTACGAGTCGCCTTTCACTGCGATGGTCATGACCCCCCATTGTCTGAGGCCCGGTCATTAGAGAAGCTGAGACGTCTACCCGTGCCGCCGTACAGTCCGGTGTGCCCGAGTCTCTTTGGTCGCGGTTAGACAGTTAGTGTGGGTTATTTATTTACTTATTACACTCCTTCACCCGTAAATCCTCGCTGAGTGTCGAGGCTCCTGCTAAGTTTTCGCAGAAGGTGGCAACAATTGCCACGTGTTTTTCGGTGACGTATTTAAAAAAATAAATTTGCCACATTTGGACCGTGACACCAGCACACAATGGCCTTCTCTTCTTTGAACGACATCACAGGGATCTTTGATGAAGATGCGAAATTGATGGTGCATAGCACTTCATGGTTAACATTATCACTCGCGCTACTATTAACCAGGGCGGCCTGTCAGCTTCAGACCGCGAAGCCCCGCAACAAGTGGCGAGCGCGCTCCGGCCGGGCCGCGTCAACCGGCGCGATGTGGTGACGCGACCTTCGGGGTGAGCTCATTTGCTTGGAGCTCGCTCGCGAGGCAGTGAGCACGTGGAGGGCATTGAAGCCGGGTGAAGGTCACGTGAGAGCAGCTGGGCCGGGAGCCGAATGGGTGGCAGCCGGCGAAGGACTTTGGCCAAGCTCTGTCGACGTCACGGTGCTCGCCGCTTATTGCCGCAGAAGGCAGTGCGGGAACATCGATCGTTGTGCTGTACTTCTACGCTTCCGAGTCTACGCTCTCTGCCTTCACCGACCCGCGCCGAGCGGCGCGGTGAAGTATGGTTAAAACATCCCCCACGACCCGCACAGGCGCGGAGAGGCCCTACATCCAGCGGCGGAGCGACAGAGCGGGTCGCCCGTGCCTCGTGGAGTCTCGTGACCTGCCCCGACCTCGCAAGGCGACTATCGCTCTCTGCTGTTTTGGCAACAGCCTCGCGGCGAGCTCTGCATTGCCCCCCGCGCGAACGAGCACGCGGCACGCGTGAAGCGACTCCCTTAGCAGTCAAGGGCATCTGTAGCCTAAACACCGGCACTCCGATTACGCCTGGGCTCGGACAGAGGTCGCCGCACGTCAAACCCCTGGACGTGGACCTCCCTCCCTGTGTCCCCACGGACGCCGAGGGCCGCCACCCGTCCAGGCTCGCATCGGAGGGATTCGTCGGCCGTGTCCGGTGGCAGGAGTTGATTTGTATCGAGACCCCGTACCGGGTGTTGCGTTCAACGTCATCGCAGGACACTGCGCAGTTTTGCTCGACTTCGGCTGACTGAGAAACCTGCACGGATTTTGTTTAGTGCAAGGATCTGGCGACGTTACGCCCCTTGTAATCGGTTGTTGCCACCTGCCATAAAACTGCAGTGCCGCTACACACTCGCCTCTCTCGTTGTGTGGTGACGCCCTGGCCCGAAGTAACTGGGTGGATTAGTTATGATGTAACAGTCATAACACCAGCAGCAAATCGTCGATTTTTATTTACTCTCCCGTACAAATCATTCTAAAAACTCCGCACCTTGTTGCGGTTCCTTTGTACATCTTTCATTTGACGTTGTACGCAGATTTTACTTTGCTCCATCATCCCGCTTATCGAGGTATCCTGCCAAACCTCACGTTCTTTCGCTACGGCTGATGTTCTATGGGACACAGGGTCGCCGGTGACCCAAACCGCCGCCCACAATTCGGCCCCTGCGCGCGAACGGCGAACAGAATGGAGGGACGCACAGAGGTGACCGACCCCTGGCTCCCAGCTCCCACGTCAACTCCGCACCACGGAGACTCATCGCGCGCTCGCCGCGGTCATCTCCTGCGCCGCTACGCCGCGCGAGTCGTACTCACGCCATGATCCCGGAGAGCTTGGACATCTCGGCGGTGAGGTAGGCCAGGTAGGCGAAGAGGAAGACGAAGAGCGGCTCCAGGACGCTCACGCGGTGCGTAAAGCGCGACGCGAACGCTGCCAGGAAGCCGTAGAAGAGCCCCACGATGATGCCGCCCAAGCCGCACAGCACCACCCTCAGGATCGCCACCGCCACGTCGATGCCCAGCACCTTCTGCATGTCGCACATCTCCAGGAAGAGCTGGTACAGCGCCTGCACGGCAGCGGGGGGGGGGGGGGGGGGGGGGGGGCGTACGGAGAAGTCAACGGTCGCAGCCGCACGGGCCCCGCAGAATCTCCCGCTGGGCATCGCGGGAGCGAAGTTGGCGCTCTCAGTTCGAGCGCCGCGTGCTGCGCTCGCCCCCACTGCCGTGCCGCGCAGCGCCGTCCGCGACACTCCACGCAAGGCAGCCGACACGCTCATCGACGTCCAGATGTCCTCATAGCCGACGCTACCGATGCCACCACAGCACCTCGCCAACGCTCTCCTCCACCCTCCGCCAGATCGCGCGGCTGCTGCGCGATCTGCAGGTCGCGGCTTCCAAGAGCCTCGCTGACAGCCTCCCACTGCCACCGCCGCCGCCACCGCCGCCACCACCGTCTGCTCCTCGTTCTTCCCCTTGGTCCCCGGACTTACGAAACGCCACGGCCAACCCGCACGAGCGGACCGGCCGCAGAGTCTACGTTCATGCGCGGGTCTTTTAAGGAACCCCCCCCCCCACCACCTCCTGCATTGCTATGCACTAGATTACAAAGTAATGTGTCTTTAGAGCTGCTTGTTTGTCCCCCCGGTTGTCTCGGTGCGGCGCGAGGAGGCGCGGGCGCTCACCACGGTGACGGCGTCGTTCAACAGCGACTCCCCGAAGACGAGCGTCTGCAGCTGATCGTTCACTTGGATCTGCTCGAAGACGGCGATGACGGAGATCGGATCGACGGCGGAGATGACGCTCCCGAACATGCACAGCTGCAGCATGGGGATGTCGTCCAAGTTGAAGACGGAGATCTGCTCGCACGGCAGCACGCGGAGCCGCGTTAGGGGCGAGGAACAGCAAATCGTCAATTAAAATCGATTCTTAAGCCCACGATCCGTGCGTGGGATGACGCACGTTGACAGTCAGTCGTTTTCAGACGTTCTGAGTTGGATCTGGAATCGTCTGCGGAGCTGTGAGTTTTATTCCCTCGGACCTGTGGGTTCGCTCCGAGCAATCTGGGTTCTCTCTAAATGTCAAACACTCGTTGATTTTGGTCCAAGAAGTATTTGGGACATATAGAGACTAAAACGTAGCCACAAATATCATCATACGCTTTGGGCAGACTTGGCGCTGCAAATCGGTGGCAGGGCGGCCAAACAACCGCGTGTGGATCTGGCGGAACAAAATCCGCGTCTCTCGCGATTCCGTCAGTGGTGGAAAGTTGAACAGGCTGTAAGTAGTGGTAGGCTTTCGCGACCGATATTATCCGTAATGAAATGTATTTTTTGGGGTCTGATCACGTAAATATATAAATGTGTCGTTAAACCCGCCACCACCGCACACGGCCAATTAGTAAGGTTTGTCACGTAAAGAAAACGTGCCAATTAGTTGCGAGTGCAGCACACCGCTTATGTGTTGGAGACTAAACCCGCAACATTCACAATTCGGCTATGGCCTTTCGCTGGTGGTTACAGCAACCAGCTTCATTAGGCCATTAGGCAGAATTGTGACGTTTGCCAACACCTCCACGCAGTGTAAAGTTTCCACTTTGACACAAGAGAGCCCCCCCTCCCCACCCACCACCCCACGGCGTTTCGCTGTCACGGATTGCGGCACCACGAGGGACGAAATTACCGCGTGGGGGGGGGGGCACCTCGTGACTCGTCATTCCACCTCGTTTAGTCAGAACACGCTACGTCACTCCACCTCGTTTAGTCATAACACGCTACGTCACTCCACCTCGTTTAGTCAGAACACGCTACGTCACTCGTCACTCCACCTCGTTTAGTCAGAACACGCTACGTCACTCCACCTTCGTTTAGTCAGAACACGTTACGTCACTCGTCACTCCACCTCGTTTAGTCAGAACACGTTACGTCACTCCACCTCGTTTAGTCAGAACACGCTACGTGACTCGTCACTCCACCTCGTTTAGTCAGAACACGCTACGTCACTCGTCATTCCACCTCGTTAAGTCAGAACACGCTACGTGACTCGTCACTCCACCTCGTTTAATCAGAACACGCTACGTCACTCGTCATTCCACCTCGTTAAGTCAGAACACGCCACGTCACTCATCACTCCACCTCGTTTAGTCAGAACACGCTACGTCACTCGTCATTCCACCTCGTTTAGTCAGAACACGCTACGTCACTCGTCACTCCACCTCCTTTAGTCAGAACACGCTACGTCACTCCACCTCGTTTAATCAGAACATGCTACGTCACTCGTCATTCCACCTCGTTAAGTCAGAACACGCTACGTCACTCATCACTCCACCTCGTTTAGTCAGAACACGCTACGTCACTCGTCATTCCACCTCGTTTAGTCAGAACACGCTACGTCACTCGTCACTCCACCTCCTTTAGTCAGAACACGCTACGTCACTCCACCTCGTTTAGTCAGAACACGCTACGTCACTCCACCTCGTTTAGTCAGAACACGCTACGTCACTCGTCACTCCACCTCGTTTAGTCAGAACACGCTACGTCACTCGTCACTCCACCTCGTTTAGTCAGAACACGCTACGCCACTCGGGTCCCAAATATGAAAGCTCAAGTTACTGTAATTTTGTGACGTTTTGCCCATTTTTCCTCGTCTGGGTGTTGAGTATTTTCGCGTTATCTTCGTGTAAAGATCGATTGTGTGACGTGCCTCTGTGAGAATTTACTTTCAGTGGTTTTAAACGGAGCGGCGTCACTCGTTGCGAGACCTGCGTTCATCCAACTCTGTGTCCTCGTTGACGCATTGGAGATGACGGCGAGGGCGACGGCGATAATGAGGATATGATAACACAACCACATCTCACTCCAGTAACGCGAGACCCGATCAGGGCACCCGCCTCTCCGCTGTCGCGCCTCATCCAGCGAGCCGAGTCGGTGTGGACGACAAACCTCAGGCACGGGGGGGGGGGGGGGGGGGAGGCGTCACAACGGCCTCGTCCAGTGAACACCGCCTCGCAGTCACCACGGCCATGGCCGGGTGCTGCACAAGCCGCCTTCACTGTCTGGTTGCCACCCGTGCGGGGTCGTACCTGGGTTCGACCCGGGCAGGGTCTGGACAAGCTGTGTTCGGGTGGCGGGAATCGATTTTGTTTGCAGGAGACTGCACGGTGTGTTCATAGACCTGGGCCGAGGTTGGGTCAAGTTTGCATTGTTGAAACGGCGGTAGTCCTAGTTCACTGTAGATACCAGCAATGTATCTTGAACTTCGTTCGCACCGTACGTAGCCAACCGTGCTCAACAGAGGTGCGGGGTAAGAACAACAAACTAAACAGTAAAAGCAATGCCAAACTGGGATCTTTTAAATCCTCATCATTGGCGTTTTACGTTTCTAAATATATTTCTGGAGTTTAGACCATTACAGTTTGAGTGTGGAACACGGCATCACCTCTCAGTTCCATCACAGACGTTCTCAGTGCGGTGATTCTCGCAAACTGGACTCTTCTCGACCCTCCTGGACGCTCCCCGTGGTTATACAAAATGAAACGTGAACTCGTGAACTCGTGGACTCGTGGACTCGTGAACTCGTGGACTCACCTGGCAGATGCCGAAGAGGAAGAGGCTGATGCTGAGCGCGTTCCACAGGGTGCCAAACACCGAATAACTGATGATGGTCCCGATGTTATCCATGAACTGGCGAGTGGGGAGAAAGTACCCCGAGTCGAGCATGAGGGGGGGCAGCAGGTAGAGGAAGAAGGCGTCCACCCCGAACACGAGGTCGGGGGAGGGCAGCTGCGGCGGGTGGGCCACGCGGATGACGGCCCCCACCAGCAGGCCCATGATGACGAGGAGGCAGCTCTCGGGCACGAAGGTGGAGATGGGGCGCGCCAGGTGGAAGCCTGCACCCCGCACACAGCCATCGCCGCCGTTAGAGGCCACCCATTGAGTAGTCACGCAACAATTTGTCAAAACTTCACCCCTGTCCCCCTCCCTATACGCGCGCGAACTTTTTACACCCCACTCCCCACCTGCGTACGTTCGCCTGACGCACCCCCCCGAATCCTGTAGAACGGCCGATATTTAATCCACGCAGAAACGATCAAGATTAATGATATTAATGTGTTTAAGCAAACAGAGAGTCCACCGCCGGACTATCTAACTAATTTGAAGGCCAATGTAGACAAATTGTTATCGAGGCTTCAAGCACCCCCCCCCCCCCCGTTTCCTATGCGTACATTGTCAGTAGACTCCCCCCATACGCATGCGAACGCATTTGGGTGAACCTCCCCCCTCCATGTGTACATACTCAATGGATGGCCCCTCACGACGGCCAGGAACCACAGCCGCTGGGACCCCGAGGCTCGGTCCCAAGGGGCTAGGGGACGCCTCACCCCGCTGAGTCTCGACACTTTCCCTTCTGGGGGAGCCTGCATTGGGATGTCCCCTCCCCTCCCTGCCAGTTTTTTGAAAGAGCGATTTCCGCGTGTCAAGGGTGGATCGGGAGTGGTTGGCACGCTGCGTTATGAACCCGGCCACCTGAGTTGGACTGCCGAGTGATATCTGCACCGGTACTGGGCCTCTCCCCCACGTCAACAACCAGCACTGAGCGGCAAGGTGAAGTATAGTCAAGCAACTCTCATGACCGATACAGCATGAGGAGGCTTTCACCCAGCAGTGTACTGACAAAGGATCAAGATGTCTAAAACTAAATTATGTTTACTTTTGCCAGGTAAGACCCACTGAGCTATTTGGTTGTTTTTTTTCAGAAGCCACCTGGCCAAAAATGATAGCTTAACGAAGTGGCTTATCACGTGTAAATTTATAGCAACCAAATATTCTGAACGCGTGTTCTAAATGTGGAGGGACAAGCTGAAGGGGTCCTCCGGCTTGTCCCTCACGACCACGGGGAGAGAAGAGACACGCAAACTCCAAATAGACAGCAGCAGCAGGCATCATCAGGGTAGTGATCGAACCCACGACCTCCTGCAAACCAGGCGAGGCAGTTAACATCTCATAGCCACCGCGGCACCACCACCGCACCCCACCAGCGCTATCTACCCAGTGCTAACTAATCGCCATTTGTTTCCATCCGTATGGCGATAGCGGTGTCCCCCTCGCACATACGGGCTTCCCCGGGCACTTCGGTTCCCTCCCAGGTGTATTAACACTTATTTATTCGCTGATAACATCTTGAAAAAAAAAACATTTGTAGGACCCTCCTAAAAAAGACGTTACACGTGGGGTGAGACTGAGGGCCTCGTCACACCGTGTGGTGACACTGAGGGCCTCGTCACACCGTGGGGTGACACTGAGGGCCTCGTCACACCGTGGGGTGAGACTGAGGGCCTCGTCACACCGTGGGGTGACACCTCAAGCGGCCCAGCAGCGGTTCGAGGGAGACGCTGGAACCAAATCGTCAGTCCCATTCGTGACGACTTCCGTGTCGTCCGACAGGCAGTGCTGCCCCCCCCCCTCAATTCATCGAACTTGGAGCGTGACCACCGCAGGCGCGAGCGTGCCGCGTGCCCCTCTCATTGTTTACCGTCGACGCGTCACGTGCGCCGACAATGCCTCTCTCGCAGCACCACGCGACCACACTGGCACGTGGCCTCAACACACGCGCGCGGCTTCCAGCGCGACGCGTGGAGCTCAGTGGGCGCCATGGCTACAGACGCCGCTAAGCAAACGGAAGGCTGCGCCGTGCTGCTGCAGGTACCCCCCCCCCCCACACGGAGAGCGGGTGGTGGGAGTCTCTCTCCGGGCGTACAGGTGCACACCGCGCAGCCGGGAGCCCCCAGCCGTGCGCTGTAGAGGGTCCTGTCCAACGAGGACCCACAACTAACGGGGGGGTCCTTGCCAATGACCTCATGGCAGTTCTCCAGCACTGTGTGCGTCGAAACCAGTCGGGAGTTTTGCTTGCGTCGAACAAATGCAGCTGTAAGCATTCATTGCCAGAAGGCCATGGGGCTGATGAGATGAGTCAAAAACGGGAGGGTGTCTTGTTTTACTTGTTTTGTTTTATTTTGGGTGGCTGCGGTTTCGTACGATATTATAATTCACGACGTGCCGTCAACATGTAATGGTCTTTCACATTTAAAAATCTTCTTCGACTCCAGTGTTGACCTCATATGAGCCTGCCCCTGAGATCTGCTGACCGTGTGACCTCACAATCTTGTAGCGCGCGTCAGCAACCCCGGGCACCCGATCCTCACGGCGATCCCTTTGCGGCTTACAACTCTCCGCCTGCCTATTGTGGTGGGCACACAACAAAGACAAAGATCCCCCGTATAGCCTGTAACAGACTGTTGGGGCAAGTGCTGTTAACGAGCACCTATGAAGGCTGCCACGGTACACGAGGGGGTGGGTGGCCAGCACCACGCCCGGCCGCCTTCGGTCCCCCCCGTGGCGATGTCTACACACACCGCACCAGGTACTCGTTTGAGGCCGAGTCGACCTAGGGGAGGCCCATTACCGGTTCAAATAATTGTCACTGGTATCGACCGTGAGCAGGAATCGAAGCGCGGTCACCAGGATCGTAGCGCTGAGCGTTAAGCGCTACACTACCACACAACACACACACAGACAGGCGCGCTAAGCGCTACACTACCACACAACACACACACACAGGCGCGCATAGCGCTACACTACCACACAACACACACACACAGGCGCGCATAGCGCTACACTACCACACAACACACACACAGGCGCGCTAAGTGCTACACTACCACACAACACACACACAGGCGCGCATAGCGCTACACTACCACACACACACACAGGCGCGCTAGGCGCTACACAACCACACAACACACACACACAGACAGGCGCGCATAGCGCTACACTACCACACAACACACACACAGGCGTGCTAAGCGCTACACTACCACACAACACACACAGAGACGCGCTAAGCGCTACACTACCACACAACACACACAGACACACAGGCGCGCTAGGCGCTACACTACCACACAACACACAGACACAGGCGCGCTAAGCGCTACACTACCACACAACACACACACACAGGCGCGCTAGGCGCTACACTACCACACAACACACACACAGGCGCGCTAAGCGCTACACTACCACACAACACACACACACACAGGCGCGTTAAGCGCTACACTACCACACAACACACACACACAGGCGCGCTAGGCGCTACACTACCACACAACACACACACACAGGCGCGCTAAGCGCCACACTACCACACAACACACAACACACGCACAGGCGCGTTAAGCGCTACACTACCACACAACACACACACAGGCGCGCTAAGCGCTACACTACCACACACACAGGCGCGCTCACACTCCAGATGGCAAAAGTAAAGAGCATGCGCGTCGTGGTTTTCAACACCACCATGGCTCGTCACCACACGAGTAAGCGAAGCGCGCCTCACGGAAGCAATGGGGCAACAACGAATAACAACGACATCGCTAGAAGCCTTCCGTCTCATTGCTCAGGGGAAGAGCTCACGACTACGAACACCACGGGTCCGGCCCAGTGCAGTGCAGCAACAAGAACCCCCAGTGCAAGGAGGACAGATCATCCACTCATAATAAAGGTTTGTGGGTTAGATCGCGTTATTTATAAATGTGTCGTAACCCTCCACCACCCGACACGGCCAATCAGCAAAAAAAGTGTCACGTTGACAAAAGACAAATAATTCACTACTTTAGCCCACCGGTGTGTTGAAGAGTGAATCCACAACATTTACAGTTTGAGTACGACGTTTCGCTGGTAATTACATCCAGCATCATCGGGCAATTCGCCAGAATGGTAAAGCCCTCGCTTGCTCCCGGTCTTAAATAGAGAATCCATTGAAATTGAGAGGAATAAAAATAACTTTAATCGCTCTGACAGCTACAGGCTTAGTGCGGCCTGGAAGCGTATTATTAAATAATACACATTACAATTCCTTATATGGGAAACACATACTAATTAACGGATTACTAACATAGCATATAATCACTAACACACATTACAACTAATTACTAATCTACAACTCATTACTAATCATAACCATTGACTGATTACTAATCGATTACATAATTACAATACCCCCCTCCGCCTTAAATCACTGCACCTGAAATGAGTTAAATTATGACGTCACCCTGCTGGTCGAGGATGACGCAAGCGTGGTGGAAAGATCAGCTGACGCTGTGAAACTGGCAGGAGGAAGGAAGAGATGGCATCAAGCGGATTGGTCGTGGGTCTCTGGAGGTCAGGTGCTGGCTACAAAACTTCTGCGAGCTCTGTCAAAGAGAGAAGGGAATGATCTGGCAGAAGGGAGGAGGTGGTGATCTGGAAGAGGGAGGGAGGTGGTGATCTGGTGGAGGGAGGTGGTGATCTGGTAGAGGGAGGGAGGTGGTGATCTGGTAGAGGGAGGGAGGTGGTGATCTGGTAGAGGGAGGGAGGTGGTGATCTGGTAGAGGGAGGGAGGTGGTGATCTGGTAGAGGGAGGGAGGTGGTGATCTGGTAGAGGGAGGGAGGTGGTGATCTGGTAGAGGGAGGAGGTGGTGATCTGGTGGAGGGAGGTGGTGATCTGGTAGAGGGAGGGAGGTGGTGATCTGGTAGAGGGAGGGAGGTGGTGATCTGGTAGAGGGAGGGAGGTGGTGATCCGGTAGAGGGAGGGAGGTGGTGATCCGGTAGAGGGAGGTGGTGATCTGGTAGAGGGAGGTGGTGATCTGGTAGAGGGAGGGAGGTGGTGATCTGGTAGGTGGGAGGGAGGTGGCAATCTGGTAGAGGGAGGGAGGCGGTGATCTGGTAGAGGGAGGGAGGTGGTGATCTGGTAGAGGGAGGGAGGTGGTGATCTGGTAGAGGGAGGGAGGCGGTGATCTGGTAGAGGGAGGGAGGCGGTGATCTGGTAGGTGGGAGGGAGGCGGTGATCTGGTAGGTGGGAGGGAGGTGGCAATCTGGTAGAGGGAGGGAGGCGGTGATCCGGTAGAGGGAAGGAGGCGGTGATCTGGTAGAGGGAGGGAGGTGGTGATCTGGTAGAGGGAGGAGGTGGTGATCTGGTAGAGGGAGGGAGGTGGTGATCTGGTAGAGGGAGGGAGGCGGTGATCTGGTAGAGGGAGGCGGTGATCTGGTAGAGGGAGGGAGGTGGTGATCTGGTAGAAGGAAGGAGGCGAAAACCTGGCAGCAGGGAGGAGGCGATGGCGCGGTGGGGCGCACGCACGCACGCACCGATCTTGGCGATGGAGGCGAGCATGATCCAGAGCGTGACCTCGAGCGGGTACTGCACGGCGCTGTAGTCGATGGAGAGGACGCTGAGGCGCCAGTCGCCCTTGGGCACCTTGGTGTGGCCCGGCAGGGAGCCGTGCCCGGACTCCACGGACCAGCCCGAGTTGTTGGCCGGCCGCGGGGGGCCCGGGACGCCGGGGACCGCGGCGGGGGCCCCCTCGGCGAGAGACGAGAGCAGCAGCAGGAGCACGAGGAGCACGAGGAGCACGGGGGACCCAAGGCGACCGGGATCCATGGCGACGGGGATCCTGGCGAGCACAGCTCCGACTCGCGACTCCGTGCGCCCGTGGCGGGGTGGGGGAGAGGAGTTCCCTGTCACTGGGACGGCTTCCTCCGCCACCTCGCGGGGCCGACGAGCGTGCTGGGTGGCGCCTGCTGCATGAGAGTGGCGCTCGTTATGTAAGCAGCAGCAGCAGAAGCAGGAGGAGGTTTGTCGTGCCGGCACAGAACTGGTTGGGGAGGTTGTGGTCGCGGTGGCGAAACTGCGCGGGGGCACGCGGCCCCGGCGCTCACCTGGAAGGAAGGGAGGGGGGGAAGGGGCATCTGATAAAAACAAATAGCTCACGTAGCTGAACACCAGCAACACACACACACATACAGACACGCAGTGTCACACACTCATACAGACACGCAGTGTCACACACTCATACAGACACGCAGTGTCACACACTCATACAGACACGCAGTGTCACACACTCATACAGACACGCAGTGTCACACACACATACAGACACGCAGTGTCACACACTCATACAGACACGCAGTGTCACACACTCATACAGACACGCAGTGTCACACACTCATACAGACACGCAGTGTCACACACTCATACAGACACGCAGTGTCACACACTCATACAGACACGCAGTGTCACACACTCATACAGACACGCAGTGTCACACACTCATACAGACACGCAGTGTCACACACTCATACAGACACGCAGTGTCACACACTCATACAGACACGCAGTGTCACACACGCATACAGACACGCAGTGTCACACACTCATACAACAACCGCCATTCGCCACTAAGTGTCGGTGACGTCACCACGACGCTGGTGCCAGGTCATGTGCACCTTAAGGCCACGTGAAGTGTCGAACGCCCACTGGCAGAAGGTCACGGGGCAGACCCAGGTGCCACGGGTCGACTGACTGCGATGACTGGCTGATGCACCACCTGTGCCCCCTACTGTGCCAACCTGCTGTGCTTTAGCCACCCGGCGCTCGGCTCGTTGTTGTGAGCGTCGCTCCTCCGCCCTCCGTTGTTGTTGGAGGGCGACTGCCTCCAACTGCCCAGTAGCATCCTTCACGAGCCTCCTCCACAGAGGCCGATCTTGACACCGCTGGTACCAGTCATCGGCAAGTCCACTCAGCTCCATGTCCTCCTGTACCACATCACTCCATCGCTTCTCTAGCCCGTGCCGTGCCCGTTTAGCCCCCTCGATCCGGCCGAACAAAAGCTGTTTCGAAGATGTTCCATTCGGGGGGTCCACGTTTCGCAAGCGTAGAGAAGGGAGGGAATGACCGTGGCCGAGAAGACCTGAAGCCTAGTGCGGAGCGACAGACCAGGTAGCTTCCACACAGCGTTACGCAACCGATGAAAAGATATTGCTGCTCGACTGATTCGGAGTGAGACCTCTGCTGTTAAACTGGAGCCGGTCATCAGCACACTTCCCAGGTATGGGAAACTCTCCACTCTCTCCACAACTGCCCCATCACCGATTGGGAGTTGTCGGGGTGGAGTGTCCGATGGTACAAAATACCCAGGCAGGTGCTTAGTTTTGATGGGGCTGATGGTAAGGCCCCATCTCTTAGTGGCACGATCCAGTCTCAGCAGCAGCGTCTCCAACTCCTCCTCTGAATGAGCAGCTATTACCAAATCATCGGCATACATAACGTGGTTGAGCAATAGGGAGCCATCCATTGACCGCACCCGGGCATCGATCAGCCTCCCATTATATCTGTACCAAATGGAGATTCCCCCGGGTACAGCTATTGAAGGCTTCATGAACTACTGTTGTTGTGGAGTGACTCATGCAGCCAGCTATGGCTCTAGAGTTTGGTGTTACATGTTGTTTATGTCGTTTATTGTGAAAATTCGGTCACAGTTCCTATGATCACTGTTACATTGCTTTTATGGCTTTATTTTGGTGATGTCGAAAACGTTTTTGGTTTGGCCATGTTTGTTTGTTGTAGTACGGAGTTAGACTGATGGCCTTAATCTTAGTTGTCTTGTGGTTGTTGTTTAACTTGCATCCCACTGGGATTTTTGCACACAGCGTTGGTGTATGGTGCTTTTTCAGGAATGTTTTGCTGTTTTTTCCTGGATTTTCTGTTTGCACAGTCACATAGTCACTTTAAGATGTTTTCTTGTTCATGTTTTTTGTTTTTTGTTTGTTGCGGTTGCACCAGATTCAAGAGCCGAATGGCTCACAGGGCTATAACAAATAAATGAAAACTGAAAACGTGGTCAAAATAGATGTTAAATAATGTGGGAGCCAGAGGACATCCCTGTCGCACCCCAAGGTGTACAGGGAATGGCTCTGACTCCCGGCCATGTAGTTTTACCCGGGCCCGCTCACCATCATGAAGGTCCTTAATGATCGTGAGCAGAGGGTCAGGGACTCCAAAAGCACGAAGAACAACCCAGAGCCCAGGCCTACTGATGGTATCATAGGCCTTGACCAGGTCAATAAATCAGAGATGTAGGTCTTGCTGGAATTCCCTTCACCTCTGCTGGTGTAGGGACGGAAAATATTGCATCTGTGCAGGACCGCCCTTTCCTGAAACCGCATTGGGGCTCCGCAAGCCTCTCCTCAGCGTGCCTGGCAAGGCGATGTTGAATAATCCTTGCCAGGACCTTTCCCGGCACACTGAGGAGTGAGATGCCCTTGTAGTTGTTACAGTCTGTGCGGTCCCCCTTCTTCTTAAAGAGGGGGACCACCAGGGCATCCTTCTAATCCTGCGGAACCCGTCCAGTGGTCCAGACTGTTGTTATGACGTCATATAGGGCAGTCTGTGCACAAACGCCACCCTCCCTCAGCATTTCGCTTGGGAGATCATCTCTGCCCGGTGCCTTTCCTGGTCTCAGACTCCGGATCGCCTTCAGTACTTCTTCAACAGATGGGACCTCAGCCAGCCACTCAAGGGGGTGTCGCGATGTTTTCCTGGCTGAGGGATTTCCCCTCCCCCAGGACCTCACAGAAATGCTCAGAAAATCTGCAAACCTGTTCCTGGGGGTCGGAGATTGAATCACCATTTTTTCCCCTAATGATGGTAATAGGTGTGGCGCTTCAGGTTACTTTTTTGATGGAGTTAAATAGAGATTTGTGATCGCGGGCCACTGAGGCAGACTCCATCTCCTCAGCAACCCGCGACCACCACCCATCCTTGCAGCACCTCACGGCTCTCCGAACCTCCGAGCGAAGGCTGCGGTAAGCCTCCTTATTCTCTGACGTGGGATTCTGTAGCCGATGAAAGTGGGCCTGTTGCTTTTTCTCAACTATCCTGAACACCTCCTCTGTCAGCCAGGGTCTCTGGGGAGGTCTGGACCGCGTACCCAAGGCAGCCATTGCAGTTGCATGAGTCACAGTCCTAAACTTCGCCCATTTACCCTCGACATCAGGAGGAGTGGGGGACGATGCCAACCCCAGCCGCAAGCGATGATGAAATTCTCGCTTGCAACTTTCAGCAGATAACTGAGACCAGGCCACTTTAGGTTGGAATGGGGTCCTGGGTGTACACCCACCACCGGAGTGGAAGAATGGCAGGCGCATCTTACAGATAACTAGTCGATGGTCAGAGAGCTGATCAGCTCCACGGTAGGTCCTGGTGTCAAGGACATGGGCTCACATCCGCTGGTCCGTCACTATGTAGTCCAGCAGATGTTCTTGCCTATACCCGAGTGTGTGTGTGTGTGCACTCGCACACACACACACACTCGCACACACACACAAACAAACGCAGAAACACAACAGTACGAAGGCAAAGATCTCCAGTATAGCCTGCACAAGGTCTTGGGACAAGTGCTGTTCGCGAGCGCCTTTAGAGACCACTCCTGCGCACGAGGAGGTGATGGCCACACACCACGGTTCAGACCTCCTTTGTCTCCCCGGTGCTCATGTTTAAACACCGCGCAAGGCACCTGCTCATGTAATGCCGAGTCGACCTAGGGGCGGCCCAGGACCGCTTCGGATATTCGCCACTGAATTTAACCGTGAGCGAGAATTGAACTCGGATGGCCGGGTTCGTAGCGCAGTGCGCTAACCACTGTGCCACCGCTCCTCTCTCACACACACAGAGGGCCTCGCGGTGGCACGCATCGAGTCACGCCTCAAGTGTGAACGGTGCGAGGGGTAGGAGGCGAGGGAGGCGAGGGACGCGTGAGGGTGACATTCTGTTGTTGCGGACGATGGGCAGTGACACGCTCAGGCGCTCAATGCCCCGGCCAGAGAGGGCCCCAGCAGGCAGAGTTGGTGCCGTGTCGCTCTTCCTCCTCCTCCTCCGCCGTAGATGGAATGAAGGCTACAGTGGTTTACTGTACGGTCCACAATCGCGCTTCCGATTCGCCGCGGTTGGCTACGTACGGTGCGAAAGAAGTTCAACACACACACATCGCACTGCAGGACCGCGGCTTGTCTTTAACGCATCTCGATGGGCTTCTATGTATCTCAGCGGGTCTCTGTGTGTCTTACGTATCTCTCTGAGTATACGCGCGTCTCTGTGGGGTTACTCGACGGACCGTGGGTTGCACGGCCGCGGATCTTTTTCATTTTCCATTTCCGAAGGAGCTGTGCGTGGCGTCGTTCATCCGAATGCCGGCGAGGGCATCAATCGTGGCCGATGCAGTCCTTGTGAGAACGTCTCACTCACAAGTTAGCACTGACGCGAAGTACACCCACGGATCATAGCGAACTCGTTACGCAAGAGACCCGCAACTTCACCGTGTTTTGTTTTAAATACCGAACCTCGCATTGTGCGCGCACGGCGGAACGCGGCACTCGCTTGGGTCGAAGAGCCGTGGCTGGGGAATTGAAAAACCGAGCGGAGATTTTCGCAGCACAAAAGAAACTCCACAGCGGTAACCGGATCGTGCGCGGGAGTCGGACGCCAACAAAGGGCACCTGCGGTGGGGGGGCACCTGCGGTGGGGGGGGGCCCCTGTGGTGGGGGGGGGCACCTGTGGTGGGGGGCACCTGCGGTGGGGGGACACCGGTGGGGGGGGACACCTGCGGTGGGGGGGGGGGGGCACCTGCGGTGGGGGGGTGGCACCTGCGGTGGGGGGCACCTGCGGTGGGAGGGGCACCTGCGGTGGGGGGCACCTGTGGTGGCGGGGGCACCTGCGGTGGGGGGACACCTGCGGTGGGGGGGGCACCTGCGGTGGGGGGATACCGGTGGGGGGGTGGCACCTGCGGTGGGGGGGGGCACCTGCGGTGGGGGGGGCACCTGCGGTGGGGGGGGGCACCTACGGTGGGGGGGTGGCACCTGCGGTGGGGGTCACCGCGAGCCCCGCATC